TGAGCACCACCCCTAGAGCCAGAAACGACTAGCACGCATGTGTGGGGGAACCTTTACCTTACTTTGTTTATCAAAAAGAAATTGTATAGAACCAGTTTGGTATAGTGATTAGGGCACTAGGTTAGAAATTGGGAGACTGAGTTCTATTGCCCTTTAGGTATGAAAGCCGCTGGGTGACTTTGAGCCAGTCACTTTCATTCATTCAGCCCTAACAACATAATAGTTGTTATAAGGAAAACTGGATGAAGAAGGAATATTAGGTATGTTCACTACCTTAAGTTATTTATAAAAAATAATAAAGGTAGGAGATAGACACACACATACACACAAACACACTTGCTCACAAAGCATTCAGGTTTTACATGAGTGTACCAGTGACCAATAAGAATTCAGGTTTTACCAAGATTGAAGTAAAGCACACCAGAAAATACTGCATTTGAAATGGAACAGGAAAATGCAGTTGCAGATTGTCTTCAGTATAGGCGTAAGCTAAAGATTTTTTTTTTTTAATTTGATTTATATGCCGCCCTTCTCCGGAGAGTCAGGACGGCTTACAATGCGTTAAGCAATAGCCTTCATACTTTTGTATATTTATACAAAGTCAGCTTATTGCCCCCATAAACTGGATCCTCATTTCACCTACCTTAGAAAGGATGGAAGGCTGAGTCAACCTTGAGCCTTGGAGAGATTCGAACCAGCAGTAAATTGCAGGCAGCTGTGTTAATAACAGGGTGCTTAGACCACTGTACTATCAAGGCTCTTGATAAAGATGATGTCTGTTCAAGACCTCAGCAACCAGTCAGTTTTGCCCATCTATAGTGAGTCATGTGGAAGAGACCAAAGAATTGCAGGCAAAAAATGACAGCAATAAGGGGAGCACAGGAGATATGAATGAAAGAGAAATAAAATATTCAGTCTCTAGCAGTAGCCAAGTCCATCCGCTCAGATCAGTTTAAAAGGACATAGAAACTTTAATAAACAGATCAGCACATTCTTATATAAGATTTACCATCATTATACATGTTGTTTCCTAAAATAAAGATCAACTGTTCAGAAGTAGCCATAATCTATTAAAAATATCATTAACATATAATAGCACAGAGTTGCTGGGAGCCGGTGGAATATATACTTATTAAATTAAATATTTAAAATGTAAACTATAAAAGGTTTTTTAAAAAAATTAAGTGGCCAATTTCAACATATGTTTTACTATAAATTAGGAGTGTGGCTCACAAGATTAGGGATGCTGGGCTAACAGCAGGCTGACGTTTGAGACCCAGTTGCTGCCACAGAACTTGATGAACTCCTGTCACACTAGCTCCAGCCAATCCAGCAGTACGAAAGGGGATGACTGCAGTAGATAAATGAGTACCACTTAATGGGGACACGAAAGGACCTTCCAGCTGGGTGTATCCCAAGCAATGGTGATGTCACTGGCTGATCCTTTCACCATCGGTGCTTTTGATACAGAAATATAACTATAAATTGCCTTCATAATCCCTAAATTTGTACTACTTTTCTTTCCTATTAGTTAACTTGTTTCTAATTCTAAGATTATATTATGTTATGTTATATTCTTATAATTATACTATATTGCACACATACAGTTTCTACCAAAATTCAGGGACATAATTTTACATTATACCACAATCGGCTTTCTTGGCAAATGAGAAAGGGTTTTATGTAACAGCCTGCAGTCCACAAATTACCTTTCGACGCTTTAAATTTTTTAAATTTAAATGTATATTAAACTTGTCCCTATAAGTACTAATTTGTAAGCAACATTGTTAGTTGAAGCATTCAGAATTAAATACTAGGATGTTGTGCATTGGTTAGAGTACAGTACTGCAGGCTACTTCTGCCCACTGCCAGCTGCCTGCAATTTGGCAGTTTGAATCTCACCAGGCTCAAGGTTGAATCAGCCTTCCAAGGTCAGTAAAATGTGGGCCCAAATTGTTGGGGGCAATATGCTGACTCTGTAAACAGCTTAGAGAGAGCTGGAAAGCACTGGAAATAAGTCTAAGTGCTATTGCTATCCCTTCAGGGGACTAAATTTACTATTTGGTTGCAACTTCTTCAATCTTAATTTAAAAAGTATGCTAATATTTCTCTATCCAGAAAGTGCAGTGCAATAAATGAACATTTGATCCAGTCTGCTGCTCTCATGTTGGTATAACCACCGACCAGGTGGTTCCGCCCCAGGCGCCTGATGGACCCTGATAGGTTCCAGATGGAGCTTGGGCCATTTCCTGAGATTCTGGCTCATGACTCGGCCGAAGACCTGGTGGCCGCCTGGGATAGTGCGGCTGCCGGGGCCTTGGACCGAGTCGTGCCTTTGCGGCCTCTGACCCGGCACCGAACTCACCTAGCTCCTTGGTTTTCCGAGGAGCTTAGGGAGATGAAGCGCCGGAAAAGACGCCTGGAGAGTAGTTGGAGGACCAGCCGCTCCGAACCTGACCGAACACTGGTGAGGTCTCATATTAAGACCTACCTAGTGGCGATAAAAGCGGCGAAAACTAATTATTTTGCCGCTCTTATCGCGTCATCAGATAATCGCCCGGCCGCCCTGTTTAGGGTGACCCGCTCCCTCCTCCATCTGGAAGTGTGGGATGACCCCTTGCAGGGTCGAGCTGAGGATTTTGTGCAGTATCTGTATGACAAAATCGCTCAGATTCGGGAAGGGCTGGCCTCTGACTGGGTATGTCCAGATGGGATGACTGAGGCAGGTCTTGAGAGTGTTATCTGGGGGGAGTTCGATCCTGTGGCTCCCGAGGACATGGACAGGGTCCTGGGACGGCTGAACGCGACCACATGTTTATTGGACCCGTGTCCCTCCTGGTTGGTACTGGCTTCCCGGGAGGTGACACGAGGCTGGCTCCAGAAGATTGTTAACGCTTCTTTGAGTGAGGGAGTCCTGCCGGCCGCTTTGAAAGAAGCGGTGGTGAGGCCCCTCCTCAAGAAGCCTTCTCTGGATCCGGCTGTTTTGGCTAACTATCGTCCAGTCTCCAACCTTCGCTTCATTGCGAAGGTTGTTGAGAGTGTGGTGGCGCAACAGCTTCCCCGGTACCTGGATGAAGCTGTCTATCTAGACCCGCTCCAGTCCGGCTTCCGGCCTGGGCACAGCACGGAAACGGCATTGGTCGCATTGGTGGATGATCTCTGGAGGGCCCGGGATAGGGGTTGCTCCTCTATCCTGGTCCTGTTAGACCTCTCAGCGGCTTTTGATACCATCGACCATGGTATCATGTTGCACCGGTTGGCGGGGTTGGGGGTGGGAGGCACCGTTTTGCGGTGGTTCTCCTCCTACCTCTCTGACCGGTCGCAATCTGTGTTGACAGGGGGGGCAGCGGTCGACCCCGAGGCACCTTGCTTGTGGGGTGCCACAAGGGTCGGTCCTCTCGCCCCTTCTGTTCAACATTTATGTAAAGCCGCTGGGTGAGATCATCCGTGGCTTCGGGGTGGAGTTCCATCAGTACGCTGATGACACCCAGCTGTACATCTCCACCCCAGGCCACCCCAATGATGCCCTTAAAGTGATGTCCCAGTGCCTGGAGGCCGTGCGGGCCTGGATGGGGAGAAACAGGCTCCAACTCAACCCCTCCAAGACCGAGTGGCTGTGGCTTCCGGCGTCCCGATATAGCCAGCTGACGCCATCGCTGGCTATTGGGGGCGAATCACTCGCCCCCACGGAGAGGGCTCGTAACTTGGGCGTCCTCCTGGACGCACGGCTGTCGTTAGAAGATCATTTGGCGGCCGTAGCCAGGGGGGCTTTTTATCAGGTCCGCCTGATACGCCAGTTGCGCCCCTTTCTAGATCGGGACTCCCTACGCACAGTCACTCAGGCACTCGTCACTTCCCGCCTGGACTACTGCAATGCTCTCTACATGGGGCTCCCCCTGGGGTGCACCCGGAGGCTCCAGCTGGTCCAGAACGCGGCCGCGCGGGGGATTTTGGGGGCGACGAGGCGCTCCCACATGACACCTCTCCTGCGCGAGCTGCACTGGCTCCCGGTGGTCTTCCGGGTGCGCTTCAAGGTGTTGGTGACCACCTTTAAAGCGCTCCATGGCTTAGGGCCGGGGTACTTACGAGACCGCCTTCTGCCACCAATAGCCTCCCACCGGCCAGTACGCTCCCACAGAGTGGGCCTCCTCAGGGTGCCGTCCGCCAGACAATGTCGGCTGGCGACCCCCAGGGGGAGAGCCTTCTCTGTGGCGGCGCCCACCCTCTGGAACAACTCCCCCCAGAGCTACGTACAATAACAGACCTCCGGATTTTTCGTCGGGCCCTAAAAACCCATTTATTTCAATTAGCTGGGCTGGCTTGAGTCAAATTTTAAACGGATTTTAAATTGGAATGTTTTAATTACGGCCAAAATTATTTAATTATTTTAAACAGATTTTAGATTTTGTATGTTTTGTATGTATGTCTTGTTTTTACTTTGGCTGTTCACCGCCCTGAGTCCTATATTGGAGAAGGGCGGTATAGAAATTTAAACAAATAAATAAATAAATAAATAAATAAATAAAGTACATCATTCTAAACAGCAGAGGCCGCTCGATTGAAAAATAAATACCACAGCATCCGGAGCACAAAACATTTATAGAGAAAAAAAATGTAGACTAACACACCTATCACTTCCTGTTCAGTGGAAAGTTGTTCAAGAAATTCACTATTATGAGGATGATGCCATAAAATTTGCTGTAACATGCGGTGAACTTATATGGGTTAACTTTTTTTTCCCTGCATTCAGCATAGCAATATAAATTAAGACGTACACAGCCAGCCACAGCATGGGAAGCATTGGCTTTGACAATAAAGAGCCGACGCACAAAACTATTTTCTCTCCGAAAACGTTTATCATGGAAACCATGTGTAACATCGCATTTTTATTTGAACCAGTCAATTCTTAATCAAATCGTAACAGTGGCCTCCCTTGTCAAACCTTGTTTTCTAAAAACCATGCTAGGATTTCTCAGAAGCGGGGGAGGGGGGAATTCTACTTCGTTAACATCCTAGATCTCCCCTTGCCTCGGTCACCAGCTTGCTCTTTCTTAAGAGCCCAAACAAAACAGGGCAACAAAAGAAATCCGGAAGTTGCGTTCCCAAAAGGAAACTTTTATAAGATCAGTGTTAAGGTTTAGGAAAGAAATCCGGCTTCCGAATTCCGGCTCGGCTTTTTCTTCCTTATGAATGAAGCGGGCGACATGAAGGGAAACGGTTCAGCTCAATCCACCGATCCATGAAGCCGAAATCACGGAAGGTGTGAATGTGAAGTGTCTGTATCGGGCATATACGGGTGGCTTCTTCTTGGCTCGTGGGAGTTTTGCCTATAGGTGGTTCAAAGTTTCTCTCCTCCCCCCCGAACCCCTCCTTTAACAGCTGCCCCTTTGCTTCGGGGCGAAGCAGCAGCATTTGTAACGTGCAGAAGGATTCTGGTTAAGGCAGTTTTATGAGCCCCCCCAGCAGAACAGATGAACAGATATCGCGTTTACGTCTCCTGTATAAACGACCTTAGCTGATTCCAGAAAGATATGCAGGGGAAGAGAATGGAGTTGATAGTTACTGGATGGGAAGCCTTGATCCTTGTGGCTTAAGGGGCTGGTCTATGTAGATCTCCTGACAGCAATACAGTTTGCTACCGTTTTCTTTCTAAATATTTTTTCCCCAGCTTTCTGGTCTGCCTTAGAAATCTGTTACTGTACTCCTTAAAGGACTTCTATCAAACCAAATTGGGCATCAATCCTTATGCATTGCAGGGAGCCTTCATTTCTCCCAACGTTTACATTTGTTTATATTTTGTTTGTTTATCAAATTCATCCATCTAGTTGAATGTGACTCTGGCCGCTGTAAAACCAACAACAGTTAAAACAATATAATACTTGCTTAATATTGATTTATTGTTTTTCTTCAGGAATTGTTTTCCTTGACTGTTATATTTTCCTGGAAGTAAGATGGAAGAGGTTCTGGCTGATCTGTGTGGGACTAGTTCCATAGATCCACTTCCTCTATGGGTTCATAGCAATGTTGGACACTGTTTTAATCAGCTGCTCTTAAATGTGGCTCCTCATGTCATCCTTGCTGTAGTAAGTGCCTGCTACATAGGAACACCAAGGTACTTTGTGATCTCTAAATTAACTCCTCACTCATAAAACAACATATTTTATTTAATTTGAAATAATTGCATGCTGCTATCTTCTATGCATACTACTAATAACTTACTAACATACATACACATGCCCATTATATATGAGAGTAATTAATTTTGCCACAAAAAAGATCTATTAACATTTTATGTTAGCTAAAATGATCATTGATATGGATTGGAAAATATGTATAACATACTTACCTGACACCCCACCATATCTCCCTCAATGAACCCAATTAAGTATTTGCAAACAAAGCTATTATTTTCCCAAAGAGAGGCTGACTTTGGTGATTGACTAAATCTGTTCAGATTAAGCGAAGGTTCATTTTTTTACATCTTGAACAACTTTCTGGGGGAGGAATTCTTTATCAATCTTCAAAAAACATTATGCTGCTTTTCGGGTTTTCTTTCCTTGACAAATTTCTTTCTTTTTAAGAAAAAAGGAAGCATGAGGAAAATATAAACAAAAGCCTTACACAGAAGTCCATGAATAAGATTTGACAATTGCACGATTAATATTATTGAAGAATTCCTGTTTAGCTTTCTTGCTCTGAAAGATGTTTCCACTGATTTTATCACTGTTTTCCCTGCTGATTGCTTTAAATTTTGCATCCAATAGTGCTTCAATGCCTGAAATGCATTAACAATACAATCACAAGAAAACTTACTTAGGATTAGACGTCCTTGAAACTTCCTTAATTTAGACCACATAAATTAATTTTTTTGATAAAACATTCAAATATATATCTACACAAGCACAATTTAAGAGATTAATCATTCTTTTTTCATTAAATAATGTTCTCAAACAACACACTAGAAAGAGCAGCTTTTTGTCTGAATCATTCACTTCAGAAACTGGAGAAATATACCATTTCAAGAATAGAAGTGGGGGAAGGATATTAGAAGAATACTAATACCAATTTAATGCTTTCTTTTTTCTCCTTTATTAGGACTTTTGGCTCACAATGTGCATACAGACCGGGATGGAAATGCAGAATTGCTGCATCTTTTATCCTTGCTGGTTTGTCCATCCTTGATATAATCCCAGCAATACTTTGGCCACAGAAATTGGATCCTTTCTGCCTGAAAGTTCTAACAAGTGGCACAGCTGCATTGGCATGGCTTACTCACAGCCTGGCACTTCTTGCTCTCTACAGATCTCCGTGCAGTTTCAGCCGTGGTCCTGCAGTCCTACCGATCCTTGCCTTCTTTCCAGTCCCATCTCTTGTTATCACATTGGTATGGCGCTGCCAGACGGAGTTGGGTGAGCAGCCCCTTCAACTTGCCACAGCCCTCAGGCTCACGGTTCTCTGCCTCCAGTTAGCTTTTCTACTTCTCTGTCTCATTGGGTATATCATCCCTGTAGGCAATAGGCAAGACCTTTTCTCCATCAATGACCCCTCACAGCATGAACCCTTGATTACAGCTTCACAGTTCTCTGAATCCACTTGGGCGGCAGTGGCAGAGGATGGGGAGAGCTGGCTGTCACGTTTCTCATATGCTTGGATGAACCCTCTTATAAAGCGTGGCTACCAGTGGAAGCTGAATAAGCCACAAGATGTCTATCAACTCCCTCAACGACTGCAGGCCAGCAAAGTCTGTGAACACTTTTACTCTTGTTGGCTGAAAAAGGCAGCTCTTGCTTCAGAAGACGAAAGGAGGTCTTCCACAAACCACTTCTTTGCCAAACTTGATTTGAGACATAATGAACTTCCAGCAGGTTCTCAAAATGCTCACAAACCTGTACATCTCCTTTCAGTGCTGCATGCAGCTTTTGGCCTACGTTATTATAGTCTCGGCTTTCTGAAATTGGCCAGTGGTCTCTTGGGATTTTCCGGGCCTCTGCTTTTAAATCTGTTGGTCAGTTTTATGGAGTCACATCAAGAACCTCTTAGCCATGGAGTGTTGTACGCACTGGGACTTTTTCCTAGTTCCTTCCTTGGTGCCATTTTACGTAATCAGTTTAATTATGAGATAAACAAAATTATACTTACTGTACGTACTGCGGTTATTTCAGCCATCTACCAGAAAGCTCTCCGGGTAAATGGAAGTAGCCTGGCTAGCTTCACCACAGGTGAAATTGTCAACTTTATGAGCACGGACACTGATAGACTAGTCAACTTCTGCTTTAGTTTCCATGAGCTGTGGAGTCTTCCTTTTCAGTTTGCTATCACTCTCTACCTTTTATATCAGCAGGTAGGCATAGCCTTCCTGGGTGGACTGGCTCTGGCTGTGCTACTTGTGCCCATTAATAAAGTTATTGCTAACTGCATCATGAAGAAAAACAAGGAGATGCTGAAGCACAAAGATGTACGGGTCAAGGTAAGGTGAAAATATATGACTGTGTAATTTTTCTGGTACATGCATATACAGGTAGTCCTCGATTTACGACCACAATTCAGTCCAAAATTTATGTTGTTAAGAGAGGCATTTGTTGAGTGAATTTTGCTCCATTTTATTATCTTTCTTACCACACTTGTTAAGTGAATCACTGCAGTTGTTAAGTTAGTGACACAGTTGTTAAGGGAATCTGGCTTTCCCATTGACTTAGCTTGTCAAAAGCTCACAAAAGGTGATCACATGACCACAGGACGCTGTGACTATCATAAATATGAGTCAATTACCAAATGTCTGAATTTTGATCATGTGACGATGGGGATGCTGCAATGGGCGTAAATGTGAAAACCAGTCATAAGTCACTTTTTTGAGTGCTGTTGTAACTTTGAACGGTCACTAAATGAACTGTTGTAAGTCGAGGACTACCCGTATGCCCATCACACTATTCCCTTTTGGGGTAAACAACATATATAGAGTGCAGAAAAAGAATGAGAAATAGTGGGCAAAAAAAAGTAAGATTGGCTTTAAGTTCATTAAGTATTAATAATAAAAATATGCTAGGTAGTAGAAATAATAATGGAGAAGACTCCTGCAAGGAGTCCCCTTTGATCTCCTTGGACTGCAAGGCAATCAAACTGGTCAGTCCTAGAGGAGATCAACTCTAACTGCTCTTTAGAAGGCCAGATCCTGAAGATGAAACTCAAATACTTTGGCCACCTAATGAGAAGGAAGGAAGAGCATTAGGCTCTTCTCACTGGAGAAGAGACTAATGCTGGGAAAGATTGAGGGCAAAAGAGGAAGGGGACGACAGAGAATAAGGTGGCTGGATGGAGTCACTGAAGCAGTAGGCGTGAGGTTAAATGGATTCCAGAGGATGGTAGAGGACAGGAAGGCCTGGAGGAACGTTGTCCATGGGGTCACGATAGGTCGGACACGACTTTGCCACTAACCACAACAACAAAGAAATAATAACCAGGTCTAACGTGATTTATCAATTTGCAATGATCCAGCAATACAAGCCAGGAGACAGTATCTGATCAGGTAATATGACTCAAAGACTGTCCTACCAGTGATAAAGGTCTACATTTGGTTCAGATAGAAATTCAGGTTTCCAAGTGAAAAGGGACATTGAAATCATCAGTTCCACAAGTACATAGCAGAGCTCATGCCCAGTTTTATTCCTGAGGACAAGGCTTTGGATAAAGCTTTCACTGGAGAATTTTCTAGAAGTAGGATGTGATTCATGTTAATCAGAAGAGGTGCTATTCAGGTTTTCTACTATAGGTCACTGAAATAGCTTGTTAGCACTGAGCATCTTTAGAAACAAAATGTGGACTCTACAGAAACAGCTTGTAATATATGCATGGCCTTCCAGGTTCAACACACGAAACAGATTTATTCATAGAATTGGGAGATGCCAACTTTCACATGAATGAAGACACCTACTTCATTCAGGAAATCCCAAAGCTACTACATCTCTAGTAGATCATGGTTCTGGAGATAATTACAGAAGTTAATATCTTTTGTATGCGAAGTGTGCGCTCTACTAAAAATATTCATCCCAAAGGGACATTCCAGCCCAAAGACTTTCAGATGTACATTGAAAGGATTGGGTACTTTGGTTATAATAATTTAGGCTATTTCCTAATTTGACTCTTCCTGTGCAATGGTTCCGACAGATTAATGGAAGGAAATTGTTCTGTTTGCAGCCTCCCACCCTTTTGAAATATTTCTTCCATTATATTTTCTTTGCAGAAATGAAAGAACAGCTGCACAAAATCTTTTGGTTGCTAATCCCTCCATTTTAAAGCCTCTCAGACAGATAAACTCACTGGTTTGTTTGTTTTTTACTAGCAACAGAAAGGAAATATGTTTTGTGTTCCCTTGTGCCTGATACAATCAGCTGAAGGCTGCCCTGTACAGATGGTGTAGTCAACTTAAAATTGATCACTTAGCAATCTTCAAAATCATGAGAAACCCCCTCCCCAAAGCTATTTATGACCTGGTTTCAAAGTTACAATGGGCTTGCAGACATATGACATTTTAGGTGCTCAGCAACCAGACAGCATTTACAGATATTTGCAGCATCCCACAGTCACATGGCTTCATTTATGATATTTTTGCTGAAAACGGGCATCTACTTAGTTTCCAGCAGAAACCACCCCATAGCAAACAATAGGTTTGTTTAACAACTGCCACTTTTGCTTAACAACTGCCACAAAAAAACTTGTAAAAATCAGGTCAATCACCTTATGGCCTGCTTTACAACCATCATGACTTAACAACGATAATTGCCAGGCTCAATGACAGTCATAAATTGAGGACGATTTGTAGTGAAAGATTCTGAGTGCACATCATGGAATAAACATACCAGCTTTGACTACCAGCTTTCTTCCTTTTCTTTTTTTTTCAGCTCATGACGGAGCTCTTGGGTGGCATGCGAGTGATCAAGTTCTATGCCTGGGAACCACATTTCGATGCTAAAGTGAAGGCATGCCGAGCCAAGGAACTGAAGAGCCTGCGAGCAATTAAATACCTTGATGCTGTGTGTGTCTACCTCTGGGCTGCATTGCCTGTAGTTGTCTCCATTGTCATTTTCATTACCTATGTTTTATTAGGACACCAGCTGTCTGCCACCAAGGTGAGAAGTGTTGCTGTTCTGACCCAATCCTTCTCTTTGTTATTCATTAGTGACTTGTTCATTTCCATGTTTGGTGATCAGAACACACAAACATTATTTAAGAAAGCTAACATCAATAGAATACCTTATTTGTGTGCTTGACTGCAGTGTTTATATATTAACTAACAGCACAAGGACTGCCAGTGGTTTATTATCTTATTCATCAACTTGTGACTCCAGGTAGTGCTGTATCAGATATACAAAACTGAACATAAAACCATTAATCCAAAATACATATACACAAATACTGTGGTGTTTGTATGACTCAACCATACCCAGTTTAAAAAATCATAAATATCCAATATTAATTAAAAGCTTTGTGATAAAACTCAGTTTTATGACCTTCCTGAATATCATCAAGGGAGGTTACCATCTGGCTCTAGGGATAAGCTATGCTGTAGGGATGGAGTATAAGCTGAAAAACATAAAGCTCCTAGCCCACTACTTTCAGTTGACTAGAACTCTCAACCACAAACTTTGCCACAAACTTTGCCACAAACACACCAGATGGGTTAGTTCTATCTGCTGAACCCAAAAGTATCCAGTTGCCAAGCCAGATATACTAAATTCAGCATTTTGAATTGTGTTACAGCTTATTGGAGACAGCGCAAAACCAATGTTATACATCAGTGGCTGTCTTCTGCCAGCAGATGAGCTTTTGCCTTCTTTTCCAAATTCAGTTTCTGGATAGCTTACAAAGGCAGCTTCATGTAAACCACATTGCAAAAGTCAATTCTAGAATAGTAAGGGCCCAGGTTACTGTTGCTAAGGCCTTATTCTTCAGAAATTTGTGCACCAGACAAATGTCAGCAAGCTCCCCGCTCCCCCTTCCAGTTAGCAATAATCTATTATTGCTATCTATTCTTTCAGGATAAATTCTTTGCTTTCCAGAGTTATTACTGGAGCAGGCAATAGACTGCTTCATTTGATGTCTTCATTACAGTTTGTTTCTTCTGATCTAGTCCGTTACATTGTGAGTTTGGTGAGGTGGCAATGTATAACTACCCCAAATTGTTAACAACCTCTCCCAGTAGCTTATTAAAAGCAGAGGGGAGAGTAATGAGAGTACCCCACAAGTGAATAGTTTACCTGTTCAATCTCTCTCCAACCCATCACCTGGTACTACCCCCTCAGGGCAGAGCAGAAAAACTGCAAAACAGTGTCTTGTACTCTTAGCTTTTGTAAGATGCCACCAATTGATGAAACTGAAAGTCACCAAAACTATCCAGTTTCTGTCCCATGCCCATATCTGAATATTGAAATGGATCCATATAATGTAGAGTTGTTGTAATCTACCACACTCTCAATAAACTTTCCTAAAACAATAAGACTGGTGGAGACTAGGCAATAGTGATCCAAATTGGTCATCTCAAGGGGACATTGCCAATACAGTATATGGAATTTGACATGCAAGACTGAATTCTATCAGTTCTGCTCCATGTTCTAATTCTGTAACTCTCAGAATCTCAGTTCCTCCAATCTGAGAATACGTTTCTAGCTCTAAATGTTATAAAGTGTAGTTTAGACTTCTTGAGCAACTTAATATGTACATGTAAAAAAACAGTCACAACTTCCAGAATTATATTTATATGTACTGTAGCTGGTCAGTCACAATTGCTCAGGGGTGGGCTTCAAAAATTTTAGCAAGGGGTTCCCCCCCCCCGGTTGCTGAGTGGGCATAGCCATGGTGGGCGTGGCCTAGTCAGCCTCCTGCACCATGGCAGGGGGAACATTTTAGCCCTCCCGGGCTTTGGAGGCTTTCCTCGAGCCCCCGGGAGGGCAAAAACGGCCTCCCCAGGCTCCAGAGGCCCTCTGGAGGCCAGAAACAGGCCTGAACTTCCGGTAGGCCTGTTTTTGGTCTCCCTGAGCCTCTGCGCACGCCATGCAATTACCTGCATCTAAAATGGGCCGCATGGGGACTCCTGGGAGAGGAGGGGAGGGGTGGGCGGGATCAGCCAGGAGTGGGATTTGGGGGTTCTCCGAACTGCACAGAATCTTAGCTAGGAGTTCTCCCAAACCTCTGTGAACCCCCAGCAGCCCACCCCTGCAATTGCTGTTGTGGTTGTTCCATTTGGCAACATTATAATATTTTCTTAATTTAATTTCCATATTCTTGCCATCTAAGAATTCTGTCATGGTCTAGACAGATATTTGCATTTGCTTCTGCTGCTTCATTTTCTGCTGTGTCAAGGTGGTATTGTATTCATTTGATCAAATGCCAGGGTTACCTCTCATTTATTTATTTTCTCTCCACCATAGGTTTTTACAGCTTTGGCCCTTGTCGGGATGCTCATTCTTCCCCTCAATAATTTCCCTTGGGTGCTGAATGGGATCTTGGAAGCCAAAGTATCCCTAGATCGAATCCAGCACTTTCTAGAGCTCACAGACCAAGATCTGCATGCTTACTATAGCAGAGGTACAATGATAAAGAAAAATAAATAAATGGTGGGATGAGACAGCAGAATGACAACAGCAGTTCTGGTTCATGTGAAGTAAATGTGAAAAGAGAGAATAGATACTTGAAGATTATGTTTGCTGAAAAAAAATATTAATGTGATTAGCAACTTGGTGGCCCAATGCAGTTTTCTATAATCACTCATGCCTACCAATGCTCCAAAAATCCAGGTTTCCCCCCTTTTCTTTTTTTTCCTCTCTTCCCATGTTTTTAAAAACCAGAGCCCATTTTTTCTGAAAATCCATCTCTTATATGGAAAATCCATCTCTTATATGGAAAATCTATTCATCACGGCAAGAAAAATTAAATATGCGAGCTGAACCTATTTTGCATTGTATGATTGAACATGCCTGTTTCTTATTAAAGGCAGGGAGCTTCCATAGGTAGCTCTGAAAAAAATCTTAATCTTTCATTTTCATTTTCATTTTATTAAATTTGTATACCGCCCTACTCCCGAAGGACTCAGGGCAGTGAACAGGCACAAAATAAAACACATAAATACGAAAGTTAAAACATGATTAAAACCTAATTAAATAATTTTTGCCCGAGACAATTTAAAACTCCCAATAATTTAAAACAAATTAAAATTTGAGTTTAAAAATTTAAAAGAAGGGGGAAAAATTAGGCCAGGCCGGCCTGCTGGAATAGGAGTGTCTTCAAAGCACGGCGGAAAGTGCGCAGATCCGGGATCCTCCATATCTCCGGGGGAAGCTCGTTCCAGATAGTAGGTGCCCCCACAGAGAAGGCCCTCCCCCTAGGGGCCGCCAGTCGATCATTGTTTGGCTGATGGCACCTGGAGGAGCCACTCTCTATGAGAGCGTACCGGCCGGTGGGAGGCTGTTTGTGGTAGAAGGCGGTCCCGTAAGTAGCCAGGTCCTAAGCCATGGAGCGCTCTAAAGGTGGTAACCAAAACCTTGAAGCGCACCCGGAAGACCACTGGGAGCCAGTGCAGCTCACGCAGGAGAGGTGTCACACGGGAGCGCCATGTTGCTCCCATAACCACCCGCGCGGCCGCACTCTGCGCCAGTTGGAGCCTCCGGGTGGTCCTCAAGGGGAGCCCCATGTAGAGAGCGTTATAATAGTCCAGGCGGGAGGTAACGAGGGCATGAGTGACTGTGTGTAGGGAGTCCCGATCCAGAAAGGGACGCAACAGGCGAACCTGATGAAAAATCCTCCCGGTCACCATGGGTAAGGTATGTGCATCTATGTGTGAAATCAATTATATCTGCATATATATCCATATATATTATTATATCTGTAAGTGTACTGTTAGCTACAGATTTTATAACAGCTGTACTGTTCTGTTTCAGTTTGTCCTTCAAATCTATCTTCTGCCTTGGAAATGCACAATTCTACCTTTTCATGGTCCCCAGAAAGCAAAGAAACCTCTGAATCTCATGTACCAAGAGGAGGCCAACTTTTCATACAGAATCTGTTGGTGACAAAGGTAAGTAATTAGGGGGAATTATAAAGACAATCTAGACCGCTTAAGAGAGGTGCTCTTGTTCTTTCATTGTATGGAAAGAGAAAGGACACGCTCTGAATGAATGAATTAAAGTTTGCAATATAACAGAGGAAGACTGCAGGCTAATCTGAAAATCTTGATGTTTCTTTCTAGGGTGCATTAGTAGGGGTCATTGGGAAGGTTGGATGTGGGAAGAGCACACTGCTTGCAGCTATCACTGGAGAACTTAGTAGGTAAATAGTCATAACCTGCTTCTTGTATAACTTTGAACTCATTACATTATTTAATTTGTTATGATTCAATACAGGTAGTTCTCAATTTACAACAGTTCATTTAGTGACCAAAGTTGCAATTGCACTGGAAAAAAGTGACTTATGATCTTCTAATTCTGTAGATGTCCCGTTTGGATCTCAAAACCCCAGCATCTCTCTACAATTCATTAAAGCAGCCACTTCTTTTTGCAGACATAATGGCAGTCATTTTTAAAATTGTGAGCCTGAAAAAAAGATGCTGCTGTTTTAAGAATCACTTTAATGGGCAGACTCCTTAAAGCATTAGCATCTGTTTTCAGAATTATGAAGAAGCCCAAAAAAGGATGTAGCTATTGACATTACTCTTTAAAAGATGTCACTGCCTTAAAGAGTCAGCTTGTTAAATTATTGTGATGCACAACTGTCTAAGAATAATGCAGGAATAGGTTGGAATTGCTTCTAGTTGTACCCATTACCACACTATCATTTAATCTCCAAGGGGTCTCTCTCTCTCTCTCTCATCATCTTTTTATCCCTATATATATATCTATATGCATATTCACTAGGGGGTGAATATACCTAGTAAACCTGCCTATTTTTCCCCACAAAAAACAATCTGCAAGGTGGGTTGGGCTGAGAGAAAGTGACTGCCAAAAGATTCCCAGCTGGCATTCATGACTAAGGAAGGCTTAGAACTCGTAGTCTACTGCTTTCTAGGTCCGCACCTTAATTGCTCTAATTCAGGAATGTCAAACTCATGTTGTCCCGGCGGCATCACATAACATATTGGGACTTTTTCCCTTTTCGCTAAACCAGGAGTGGGCATGGCCAGCGTGTGATGCATCCTGCCTGCAGGGCAGGAGTTTGACAGCCCTGCTCTAATTGAATTGTTGCTTTATTTTGATCCAGGCAATTGACTTCTGCATATATTGCAGAATGTAAAGATTAACCGGCCCCATTGCCCATAATCATTTGGATAGCCATTTTGTATGCCCTTTCCTCACTGCTGATATGTTTGTAGTCAAGGTGAACAGGTCTATGTTTGGGATTTGGAAAAAGGATTTGGGTTGGCTGCTCAAGAGCCCTGGATCCAGTTCACCAGCATCCGTGAAAACATCCTCTTTGGGAAGGAATACAACGCTCAATTTTATCAGCAAGTAATAGATGCCTGTGCTCTCTCTGATGACTTGAATGTGAGTATTCCATAATGTACAAAATAACTCCTACAGGTTCTTCAAAGAAATTAATTAATTAATTAATTAATCAAGTATTACTTAGTGCCGCCACAACTTCCTCTGGGCCCCAGAGCCTCCTACACATGGAGCACCTCCCTCCCCCCAAAAAAGTATGTAAACATTTTAGTATGTTACTATTACAGCACAGGTATTTTCAATTTGCTTATATATTCATACCGTGGTGCACAAATTTGTACTTGGCTTGGTAAAAGTTGCATAAAATATTTTTTTCTCATACATGGCACGTCAGAAATTAGATGGAACAGTGCTCAGGAACAACCCTATATCTGGGAAAAGATTGTTCCAAAGGGCAGGAGTTGCTATGTTAAGTATCTCCAAGTTTTAACTTATTTCCTGTGTTCCCCCTGCCTATCCTATAATGGCAAGAAATTGTGGCATTAGCGTATGGCAGTTTGCTGCTGAATTTTCATTGATGTATTGTTGGGGTTGACAGAAGAAGTGTTCATGACATATGTGACCTTTGGCCTACATGTTGCCTATTGATATAATGGAGTTATGAATTAAGCATCCAGGAGTTTTGAATAATTGTCTTTATTCCAGTGCATCTATTTAGCCAACTGTTCTGTTAATTATAATTTATCTATTTAATTTCTAGATTTTCCCAGCAGGTGATCAGACAGAGGTGGGTGAGAATGGAGTCACCCTCAGTGGGGGACAGAAAGCTCGTATTGCACTTGCTAGAGCTGTTTACCAGGTATATAAAGGACTGGATGAATGCTATTGTCCTAGGTGGTTTTTATTTGTGTATTTATTCAATTTTTATAGCCATCTCAGCAAAGTGACTCTGGGAGGCTTACAATTATAGAACAGTTAAGAGAAACTATTATTTGGATTGTTTTATTATTTTAATTTATGTATACAGCAACCAAAATAACCTACTAACAGTAAAGCCAAGAAATGTGGCCCTTAACACATTCAGAGCCCCAGACCCTGTACCCTGCCAAGTTTTTAAAGCCTTACAAAAGGCCAATAGGGTTGGGGCAATTCTAATGTGTCAAGAAGAGTATTCCACAAAGAAGGGGCTACAATAGAGAAGGCCTGTCTTCTAGTTCCCAACGGTCAACATTATTTGGCTAACAGGATCTGAATTATTCTGAGTTTGTTGGATTAAATTAGATAGGTAGAGATTTTACAATTCTGGGTGGGAAAGGGCTCAGACGTTATCACTCTTTTCTACAGGAGAAAGAATTATACCTTCTGGATGATCCACTAGCAGCTGTTGATGCAGATGTAGCTAATCACCTTATGCAGAAGTGTATCCTAGGAATTCTCAGACACAAAACTCGGATTCTTTGCACCCACAGAATTGAGGTTTTGGAAAATGCTGACATGATAGTACTAATGGATAATGGCAGAATTCTCAGGGCAGGTAAAGCCTGACGCCTTCTATTGTTTTCTTTGCCTAGGGTTTGAAATACTTACCTCAGAAAAGGAATTCATAATGTGAACCAGACTCCTGTTTTTTGTTGGGAGCTTTTTATCAGCTCTTGCATGTTTATAAAGAAGGATCAATGGTTCTTTCTCAATTCTGATGGCTCTTAAAATTGCCTGGAGGGCTTTTCAAATTTTGCTGTGTTGTAAGTTCCAACAAAAAGCTCATTATCAATAAGTACAATTAACAAAATGCACAGGTATTTAGTAAAAATATTGGCTTAAGAGAAAATACTGAATTAATTGCTCTACATAATAGAGAATTTGTTTTCATAGTCATAGCAAGCATACCCAGTATAATAGAAAAAGGGACAAAAATATGCTGGTGAGCCAATAAAATTAAGGATGAGGGAATTATTCAGAAAAGCTAATAAAACACCACACAAAAGACTTAACAATTACAACAGGAAAATGAAATGGATGTTTGTTTGTTTATATTTGTTGATTTATTAAATTTGTTTGCTACCCATCTCACTGCAAGGTGATTCTCGGAAGCTTACATCAAAATAAAACTCTCTCTATATGTATTTCTAATTAGAAAGGATTAAGAATTAGAAATGCTTAACGTGGAATGGAACAAATATTCCTCAAAAAAGAAAAAAATAATTATTTTATAAAAATTAAAATAGACCATAATCCAGTGAGTTTGGTTTTTCAATAGAAATATAGTTCTTTCAGATAGAGGATAATGAAATGCTGTTAAGAAAGAAGCATAGTGGAAATGTAAACATAGCAAAATCTTCCTATTTTTCTAGGTACTCCAACAATCATTCTTCCATTGGTAGAAGCTGTCCCTAAACTTGGAGCAATGACCAAGAGAAGGAAGGACACAAGTAAGTACTAGGTATTTTCATCATTGTACAGGAATGGGTTTGTTGAAATCAGTCAAAACAATATAAGTCTGGGATAATGGAATAGAGAATAAAGCTAGTTTAGAAAGTGGAACTCAATTGAGCCCACAAGATAGATAAGCATACAGGGCTTATTTATTGTTTTCTTTCAAACGTAATAGTGGAGACAGGAAGCACTAGCCCACTCTTCCTTTGATCAGGTACCTTCCAATGTGTTGAGATTGTAGTTGTACTGCCAGAATTGCAAGCCAGTATAGCCATCTTGAGAATCCTCCTAGTATAGATAGAGGAAGCTGAGCTAATGAATCTTGGTGATTTCCCAATAAGTAAAATAAATCTCTATGTGCATAAAATACATTTCTTTGGAGGGGAAACAGAGCTTCAGATATTTTGTCCTCTTGAAATCATGTGGGGAATGAGAGTACCTTCTACTTCTGCCATATCCTCTGCTTAATACAAATTTAGGAAAAATATGTGATGGATAGGAAGTAAGTATGAATGGCCTCCCAAGAACTAAAAACTTTCAGAAACATTTAGTTTCACAAATTGAAGCAATATCACTGATGAAAATAGAATCCGGTAACCTATGTTTTGTTATTTTGTAAATTAGATGAAAATATATTACAAAAATGCTTCAGGTTTCAGGGGGAAAATGCAATTAGTAATGCCAGTAGATGCTAATGATCCTGCAACAGCCATATTCCATTAGTGCTTATTATTGAATTGATGTGTCTATGGAGATTCTCAGTCATCCAAGTCATGGTTATCCCAAAGATCCTTTTTTTTTTCCCAAGATGCAACTGGACTTTCTGGTTTTTCTTTGAAGACATTTTGCTTCTCATCCAAGTTGTTTCAGCTCTGACTGGATGGTGGGGAATGGAAGGATTTATATTCCTTGCAAACAGCTGGTCATTTGCATTCCTTTAACTGGTCATTAAGGCCACCTGGAGGTTTATCCGTGTCATCAGGGTCACCCGAGTAGTGCAAAGTGGTGTGGAGCCTTCTTGGAACTGTTGAAAGAACTGTTGTAGATTGGAGATAGATGATGTTGTATTCCCCAACTACCCACCACCCACCCCCGTTGAGAGAGGGCTGTTCAATTTTGACATAGTTCAATTCTTCAGAGGTGAAGAAGCTTCTTGGATGAGAAGCGAAATGTCTTCAAAGAAAAACCAGAAAGTCCAGTTGCCTCTTGAAAAAAAAGTACCTTTGGGATTGAATTGATGTGCATTTGAGGAAAGTCTCAGGAAGAAAGCATTATAGATTATAAGATAGGAAAATGCAGTATGTCTGCACTAGTAGCACAACAGAACACCAAAGACATCTGGATCCTGTGGTGGTGGTGGTGGTGGTGTAGTAGTAGTAGTAGTAGTAGTAGTAGTAGTAGTAGTAGTAGTAAGTAGTAGTAGTAGTAGTAGTAGTAATAATAATAATAATAATAATAATAATAATAATAATAATAATAATAATAATAGGTATTGAGTTAACCATTATCTGCAAAGCCTTTTGGTTATAAGTTTAGGAATAACTAGTTATGATTGCCCTTAGGGAAAGATAGGCCATATATTTCAGGAAAAAAATGACTGACAAAGAAATAGAATTCAGGTATTGGTATCCAGGTACATCCACCTGAATATCTTACCTGCTGTCTACATTAAAGGGTGGATGTAGTTTGCTTCTGAGTAATAAAATAGGATTAAAGCTTTACAGCAGTTATAAGGTCCTCAGGTTTTGGGAGTGGGTGTTTATTATTATTATTATTATTATTATTATTATTATTATTATTAATAATAATAATAATAATAATAATTAATTAATTAATTAATTAATTAAATTTGTATACCGCCCTACTCCTGAAGGACTCAGGGCGGTGAACAGCCAAAAGATAAAATACATATAATACAAATGTTAAAAAACCATTAAAATACAATTAAATAATTTGGCCCAGAAAACAAAATGTAAAACACCCCAAATTTATAAGACAAATTTAAAATTAAAAAAATTTAAAAACAGTTTAAAAAAGAGGTTAGGCCAGGCTGGCCTGCTGGAATAGGAATGTTTTGAGGGCACGGCAGAAAGCGCGCAGGTCTGTAATCCTCTGTATCTCCGGGGGGAGCTCGTTCCAGATGGCAGGTGCTCCCACAGAGAAGGCTCTTCCTCTGGGGGCCGCCAGTCAACACTGTTTGACCGATGGCACCCTAAGAAGCCCCTCTCTATGGGAGCGTACTGGTCGGTGAGAGGCTACTGGTGGCAGAAGGTGGTCTCGTAGATACCCCGGTCCTAGGCCATGGAGCGCTCTAAAGGTGGTAACCAAAACCTTGAAGCGCACCCGGAAGACCACCGGGAGCCAGTGCAGCTCGCGCAGGAGGGGGGTCACATGGGAGCGCCCCATCGCTCCCATAACCACCTGCGCGGCCGCATTCTGGACCAGCTGGAGCCTCCGGGTGCTCCTCAAGGGGAGCCCCATGTAGAGACCATTTCAGTAGTCCAGGCGGGAAGTGATGAGGGAATGAGTGACCGTATTTAACGGGTCCCGATCCAGAAAGGGACGCAACTGGCGAATCAGGCAAACCTGATAAAATGCCCTCCCAGCCACAGCCGTCAAATGCCCTTCTAAAGACAGCTGTGAGTCCAGGAGGACACCAAGTTGTGAACCCTCTCCGTGGAGGTCAACGACTCACCCCCAATAGTCAGTGATGGCACCAACTGATTATATCGGGACATCGGAAACCACAGCCACTCGGTCTTGGATGGGTTGAGCCTGAGTCTGTTTTTCCCCATCCAGATCCGTATAGCCTCCAGGCACCGGGACATCACTTCAAGGGCATCATTGGGGTGGTCCAGGGTGGATATGTACAGCTGAGTGTCATCAGCATACTGGTAGTACTTCACCCCGAAACCACGGATGATCTCACCCAGTGGCTTCACATAAATGTTGAACAGAAGGGGCGAGAGGACCGACCCTTGTGGCACCCCACATACAAGGGGCCTCGGGGTTGACCTCTGCCCCCCTGCCAACACAGACTGCGACCGGTCGGAGAGAAAGGAGGAGAACCACCGCAACACGGTGCCCCCCACCCCCAACTCTTCCAATCGGTGCAGCATGGTCGATGGTATCAAAAACCGCTGAGAAGTCTAATAGGACCAGGACAGAGAAACAACCCCTGTCCTGAGCCCTCCAGAGATCATCAACCAATGCGACCAATGCTGTTTTCGTGCTGTACCCAGTCCTGAAGCCCGACTGGAACAGATCCAGATAAGCCGATTCATCCAGGTACTGAGGGAGCTGTCGTGCTACCACACTATCAACAACCTTCGCAACAAAGCGAAGGTTGGAGACTGGACGATAATTAGCCAACACTGCCGGGTCCAGGGAAGGCTTCTTGAGGAGAGGTCTCACCACCGCCTCTTTCAAGGCGGCGGGAAAGACACCCTCACTCAAAGAAGCATTTATAATCCCCTGGAGCCAGCCTCGCGTAACCTCCCGGGAGGCCAGCACCAACCAGGAGGGACACGGGTCCAATAAACATGTGGCTGCACTCAGTCTACCCAGTATCCTGTCTACGTCTTTGGGAGTCACAGAATCAAACTCTTCCCAGATAATATTCTCAAGACCTGCCGCCATCATCCCCCCTGAATCTACCCAGTCAGAGTCCAGGTGTTCCTAAATCTGAGCGATTTTGTCATACAGATACTGTGCAAAGTTTCCAGTCGAGAACCCCCAGTGTCCTATTATTGTTATTCCTGTTTCCTGGTATTATTATTCCTGTTTCCAAAATAGACGCTGAATGCAATGAAGTGGAGGAAGTGGAGCATGAGGAAGAAGAGCCAGCACAATTAAACTGTTTTCCTAAGCAGGAGGAAGAGAAAAAAGAAGGGGCAGTGGCTTTCAAAGTCTACAGGGCATACTGGCTGGCTGTTGGCAGCTGCCTAGCATTGTCCATACTCCTTTCACTGCTGCTCATGCAGGGTAAGCTTATAACATTGCTCCTTCCCAGTTCAGGTTTCTCTCTTCTCTTGATTGCTGGCTATTTCTCAGTAATTCGGAACCTTTGGTTCAAAAAAATTGACATCTTTATAGAAACTTGGGCATTTTGCATCGATTATGAGAATTGTTGAAGACCTCATAGTTATTCCAGGCATTGTGGACAGAATGATTGTGGAATTCCCTCTCTCCCTCTCCCCCTTTTTTTTTTTTTGAGGGAGCATGTATTTTCCTTGGTTTTGCTTTGCTTTTGTTTTTTTGTACTTTGCTTTTCTAGTCTGTTGTAATTTTTTTTTGAGGAATTGGTTTTTAATTATAAACCACCTACAGTTGTTTGGGAATTGGGTAGACTATAAATTAAATATAACAAACATATAAACCACCTATAAAATAGACATAACTTGCAATTCTCAAGTTTGAAGTTTCTTCTTTTAAAGATCAATAATAGATATTAAGTCTTTGTGGTAATAGAATAATGCTAGTGATTTACTCGCAGTTTTTGTATTTAACAGCTTTATAATCTACAGTATAGGAAAATTTTGATTCTCCAGCCTCTTTCCAGGGAACCCACTGTGTGGATTGGTTCAGAAATAAATGATTTCCTATTATGTGAGCAAGTCTGAATAAGCCACAGGCTTCCACAAAGTTCCACGTAATTCAGGAAAAGGTTGTTGCTAAAATTTATTTTCACATAAGGTAATTTATTTGTGGCATGCACATATATTTATTAGTGGCTTCTATGCTATTTAATCAGACAACTCAAAGCCACTTACAGTGTTATAATACAACTAAAAAATAACAGTAATCATTTTCCAATATGGTCTATTCAGCATTTATTCAAACAGTTTGTAGAGGCACATTAAAAGTGCTTTCATAGGGCCTCTTTATTATATTAAAATTGGCAGGAGGAGTTGCTTTGTGGTGAGTTCCCTACCTCAAAGTCATTCAGATAGGCTTAACTTTTATTTAAATAAATAAAGCCTCACTTACTGACACTTACCCATTTCTGCAGCTTCTAGGAATATTTCCGATTGGTGGCTCTCAAACTGGATATCCAGCCTACCTCATACTGAAAATAACTCCATCAGCAGCTTGGCAGCCCTTCCTTCTTCATCTCTGCTGCTCTTCTCCCATGACGGACTCATGTATGTCAATCAAAGAGCTTGGCTATGTTTTATTTGCATCTGCTCACTGCCCAAACATACATGCTATTGAATAAGATTCTTTCTCTTCTTGGCATTTTTTTTCTGTCCTCCTCCCAAACTGCCTCTAGAAAGTAGAAGTGAATTGAGAATGCAGAAGGGAAAACCTCAGTCACATGGCTTTTCTTGCTGTGATTAAGAAGCTGAACACTAGCTAAACATTAGCAAGGTAGAGCAACTTGCAGGGGGAGGGAGCAAGGAATAGGGCAGATGCACAATATTTCCTGAAACCTGATGGGAATCAACATGTATGCAGTGGAGAGGATTGGAATGATTACTTACTGTATAGGATTCCAGTAATCATGCTTCCAGTGACTTTTTCCATTTCTTGCAAATTCCTCTATAAACTTGACTGAATCTTTCAGATGTCTTCAAAGGTAGAAAAGATTAGATAATGTGACTGGCCAAAACTTGAGCTTGACCTCAGTCCCTGAAGTGAGTAGATTCGAGTGAACGTGGAATTTCCAAAAATTCCTAGGCCTGAATCTGAATGCCAGACTGGTAAGAAGGCACAGGTGGAGCAACTCCTCCTCCTCACAGGAACTAAAAGTAGGAGGTACTTAGTGCTGTTGGTGGGAGGAAATTCCCTTCCTGCCCTCCTGGGAGAGAGTTATTGCATTTGGTCAAAACAGGGAAGCTGACTTGGAGGAGTATTGCACTTCCAAACTGATTTTACCTGTCTTTTCAGTTCTCCAGTCTTGAGCTCCATCTCTTCAAATAGCACTTTGAATGTGAATTTTTACCTGACTGTGTACGGCTGCATTGCTGGGGTAAATTCAGTCTTCACCATCCTGCGGGCCTTTCTTTTTGCTTGTGGCACCATTCACGCTGCGACTGTCATTCACAACCGACTGCTTAGACGGGTGATGAAGGTAATGACCTGGGAGCCCTGTTTGGGAAAAGAAGGAACAAGGGAGGAAGATAAAAATGGAGACTTAGAAAAATTGATTTTTTTCAAACATTTAGATTTTTGAAAATTAATTGTCCTGTTATTTTACATATAGTAGGAAAACATTAATTAATAGCATTATTATTTATAGTATTATAATTATACTTCATTGGCTCTACAGTTCCGAGAAAAATTATTGGCCCTTTTGGGGATTTTCTGAATGCTTGCTTATCGCAGAATGTTGTCAGAGCTCCCTGCAGCTCCTTGTGCTATGTAAGAAATAAATAACTGAAATAATTGATTTTGGTAGCCAGCAAGACTTTTATAAGTGGACGTAGCTATCTTGTTTTTAGATGAGTTTAGTCACATAATCCCCCTTTGAATGGGAGTCTGCTTTCATATGATCCCACAGACTTTGACCATTGGACAACAAACATTGTTTAATAAAAACATCATGAAGTACCAATGGGACCTTACAATCCTATTTCATGAGAATGTTGTTGCTTTTTAAATATATATATATATATATTTATATACACACACACGATAGTCCTGTGTGGGACTGCAGAGAGATTAAAAAAAAGAAAATAGCATTGCAATACACTAGGATATTTCCAGTACATTCTAATATTCCAAAAGCCCATAGCCTTACTATATTTTTTCTTTTCTATTGCCAGGCTACCATGACCTTCTTTGATACCACGCCAACAGGTCGTATTCTTAATCGCTTCTCTTCAGATCTGTACTGTGTGGATGATAGTCTTCCTTTTCTTCTCAACATCTTCTTAGCCAACATCTTTGGACTGCTGGGCACGCTGGTGATGATAACCTATGGATTGCCTTGGATTGGGCTAGTCTTACTGCCCTTGGTGGCCATCTACTACTCCATCCAGCTTTATTATCGACGTACCTCTCGTGAACTCAAGCGACTCTACAGTCTCACCTTGTCACCTATTTATACTCACTTTTCAGAGACTTTGACAGGCCTCAGCACTATTCGGGCAACCAGGATGACTGGGAGGTGAGTTTTTCTCTTCAGCTGGTGGAAGTGTAAATTGACCTGAAAAGTGGCTAAGTGAGAGCTGTTTCAATTGCATGAGAAATTCTTCCTAATGTTAATCTTTGGGCTGAACCCAGTCTAGGTTTGAGACAGAAAATCAAGAACGGGTAGAACTGAACCAGCGTTGCCGTTTTGCCAGCAATACGGCAATGCAATGGCTAGATATTCGGCTGCAGATGATTGGAGTTGCTGTGGTTACTGCCATTGCAGGAATTGCCATCATCCAACACCAACGGAAACTGGGTGATCCAGGTGAGCTATGGAATTATGGACTCTGCAAGGATGCACCAATATCTATGCCCGTGATGGCGAACCTATGGCATGTGTGCCACAGGTGGCACGCAAAGCCCTCCCTGCAGGCACGCAAGCTGTTGCCCCAGCTCAGCTCCACTACGCATGCGCTTTCCGCTGGCCAGCTGATTTTCAGGTCTCTGCCGTACATGCATGGGGGTGAGGCACATGCAGGAGGCATGCATGCATGTTCGGGGGTGGGGCGCACAGGTGGGGGAGGTCACACACGCATTGCATTATGGGTGTGGGCGCGTGTGAGTGCCGTTGCATGCAGGCGTGAGCGTTTTTGGCACGTGATGACAAAAAGGTTAGCCATCACTGATCTATGCCATCCTTGCCAACTGAGTCTTCTTTCTTTTGCTCACAATATTGTTCCTTTCATCATTGATATTAGATATGGTGTTAAGTTTCGAGGTTGTCTCAGATAAATTGCATTTCAAACAAAGTCTTTGAAGAAAACTCCCATTTATTAAGCACGACATTCAAAGCACGACTCATCGTAGCCAACACTGACTTCCAGACCCCAAACCCTCCCTTTCCGTTCCCCACTCCCCTGCACTCATTGGCCATCTTCCAAGTCAATCTACCCCATCTATTGCTCCACTCAAAGGAATTTCCCCCCTCCCACCCCATCTCCTACGGGATATTATCTCCAGGGAAAATAAGTAGGTAAAAAGTCAAACGTCCCTTTCCAGACGCCTCCGCTCCTCCTTCTTATGTCAGCACTAGAGTAAATGCAGCTTGAAGTGCTGACATATGGATTCTGGATTTTTCTCCCTTCTCTGAAGAAAGGATAATAGTACCAAGAATGCTGAAAAAGAAATGAAAAGTATTTTTTGCTCATACAATCAGCATGCATTTTATATGTAGGCAGGCAGGTGGTTTTTCTGTTCATTTATCTTTCCCTTAAAAGAAGAGAAAAATAATATTGTAACCAAATGAAGTCCATGTGAGAACAGGTAAAGTGCAGTGAACTACTGGAACCTTTTTTTCAGTATGGCAGGCTTCTCTTTCTAATCATCTCTATAAAGTTAGTCCGACTGTCTTAAACCGAGGGAATTCTACAGATGTGTAGCCTCCAATAAGCAGTTCCTATCTTACAACCGTAATGGAGCCATAAGTCATGACAGTCATAAAGTGGGTCACCTTAAAGGCATTTAAGCAGGGGTGAAATCCAGCAGGTTCTGACAGGTTATGGAGAACGGGTAGCGGAAATTTTGAGAACTGGCAAATACCACCTCTGGCTGACCCCAGAGTGGGGTGGGAATGGAGATTTTGCAATATCCTTCCCTCAGGAGTGGGGTGGGAATGGAATTTCCCCTGCCACACCCACCAAGCCACACCCACAGAACCGATAGTAAAAAAATTGAATTTCACCACTGCATTTAAGGTAGATGAACCAGGATGTTTTTTTCAAGCAGTGAGCATGTGTCTAAAAGAGGAAAGATCAGATTCTGGATCACTATTTCTAAAAATAAAAAAATAAAAAAAAAAGTCGTGATACTAATATCAGAATCACTTCAGCAGTTCCAAGGAAAACTTTTTTTATGTTGGCACCTTTCTGTCCTTTGCCTTTGGAGATGGATTATTATCTCTTACTATTTGCTGCTTTATCTCAGATGGTAGTTTTCTGTTTTGTTTTATTTTGCCTTTTTTTGCCCTTCCAGGTCTTGTGGGTTTGGCTCTTTCCTATGCTCTATCTGTTACAAACTTGCTGTCAGGACTCATCACCAGCTTCACTCAGACAGAGACCATGATGGTGAGCGTGGAACGGACTGAAGAATATGCAACAGAAATTCCCATAGAACCTCAGGAGGAACTTCTTCCGGTAAGGCTGCCTTGTTTTGCAGCTCTAAAATCATTGGAGAGATTTGTTTATCTAGATGTAGAGTATTCGTTTTCATATAATGCAAATGTAGTGATTGCTTTGGGATGTTTTTGCTTTTATGGGTCCTTGAAAAAACAGTTGGTCTTCTTGAAGGTCTTCACCTTGTAAAGACAAGGTGAAGGTGAACTCAAATCTATAGTATCTTTTCCATTCTTCCGAACTCACTTCGTTTTAATTAGCATAATTTGGATTCAGAGGAGGAGGGAAGGGAGGGTAAAAACAGCTGAAGAGGGAACTATTTCAATTAATCTCTTGATACAGATTTCCTAGATTCTGTAGACTATCTTGCATGAAGGATGAGTCCTGGTAAATTGCTGAAGAGCACAGAAAAGTAGGGTTCCATTCTAGGAATGAAGCTCATGTTAGGAATGAAGCCCATGCTATCATCTTGAAGACTGCAACAAGGGCAGAAGTTCAGTAGAAAAGTAGTTGGTGCCAAGAGGGCAGGGGAGCCCAGTCATCTTCCACCAGACTATCACATCTAGAGTGGGAAGAACTCAAAATAATATTTGCAGTAATCATTACTACATGGTACTCCTTGATTTGATTTGCTGTATTTCTACTGGTGATATTAAGTAATTGATCAGAAAAAAATACATTATGTGGTAGCAATCTCTGCTCATTTCTAACATTGTTTTTTCTTCCTTGAAGGTTTCCCCAAACTGGCCAGTTAGAGGGCATATGGAATTCCAACAAGTAATATTAGCCTATCGGCCAGAATTACCCAATGCCCTGGATGGTGTTACCTTCACTATCTATCCTGGGGAAAAGATAGGGATAGTTGGACGTACAGGGTCTGGCAAATCCACTCTCTTCCTGGCCCTTTTCCGCATGGTGGAACTGAGAGGTGGACACATCCTCCTAGACAGTATTGACCACTGCTCTGTAAGCTTGAAGGAGCTAAGGTGAGTCATTTTAAACAACAGTGGCTTGAGGTTCTAGGGGTTATTAATCCTTTAGCTGTTGGTACCATGGTTCTCAATCTTAATCATTCTTAAACTTTACTGTGACAGATTAAACCACTTAAAGTGTGCCTCATTTTGTCAATGGTGATGCCAATCTTCCTCAAACTCCTTTGCATCCATTTGAGAAGTCAATTTAAGGAGATAGCAAAAGGGTTGTTTAATATATCAGTTGTGTGCTTTCTATTATTTCCTGCTGTCTTATTTTTAGGTCTAGATTGGCTATAATTCCCCAGGACCCTTTTTTGTTCAGTGGGACACTCCGTGAGAATCTAGATCCCCAGCAGCAACACACGGATGATGACTTGCACCAAGTTTTGGAACAATGCCACTTGCACACATTAATTACAGAGATGGGTGAGTCTTTTGCTTGGGATAGAAAAAGGAGCTGCTGGAGCAAAGGGCATCAAAAGCCTAATAAACTATCCTTTAGATTATGAGGTGTTGGAAAACTGATCAGAGTAGAAAAAAAAGAAAATAAATACCCACAGGGTTGTAGATTCTCAGGCTGCCACAGAATGATACATTTTGAGCTTAAGGAGGTTAACTTTATTCAGAAAAATGTATCAAGATGGTGTTGGATGAAGCAAAATAAATAAATAAATCTGAGGCCAGATCTTTTTCCTATTTTTTCACCCTTCCCTCTTTTCCTCTCACTCTCTCACTTTCTATAATAGATGAGCAGAACAACAGATTGTTCTTCACAAATTTATCATGCCATAAATGTGAACTATTTTCTTTTGCTCCTTATGTCCAGAAATCTAATAATTGAGAAAGAGTTACTTGTTCAACTTTTTCCACTTTCTGTTTTAGCATTTTTTTCTCTCTCTGGGTCTCTCTTTTTTGCATAAAATACTCAGTGCTTCAGTCTTCTGGCAGAATATTTAAGAAAAGATGCCAAGAAACTTGATCGGAGACTCCTACTTTTTTTTGGCGGGGGGGAGGGGGGGACTGTTAGTTTTGAAATGTTTAAAAGTGTAGTAGTTAAAAACCCAACATGACTGACATAAGATAATGGCTGATTGCAAAATGTCTTGATGCTTTCTGTGTTATGTATTTAGTTTTTAGTTTTTTTAGTTTTTATTTGATTTCTATACCGCCCTACTCCCGAAGGACTCAGGGCAGTGCACAGCCAAACAATAAAATACATACATACAAAATTTAAAAAGTGGAATTAAAATCAAATTAAATAGTTTTGGCCCAGACAAATTAAAACCCCAATCGATTTAAAACCAATTTTAAAATTTGAATATATAAAATACTAAAAAATTTTAAAAATTAAAAATCTTTTATAAAAGAGGGAGAAAATTAGGCCAGGCCCGCCTGGTGAAATAAAAAGGTCTTTAGAGCCCGGCGGAAGGTGCGCAGATCCGGGATCCTCCGTATCTCCGGGGGGAGCTCATTCCAGATAGTAGGTGCCCCCACAGAGAAGGCTCTCCCCCTGGGGGCCACCAGTCGGCATTGTTTGGCCGACGGCACCCGGAGGAGCCCCTCTCTATGGGAGCGTACCGGCCGGTGGGAGGCTATTGGTGGTAGTAGGCGGTCCCGCAAGTACCCAGGTCCTGAGCCATGGAGCGCTTTAAAGGTGGTAACCTTTAATACTCTTTAATATTTTTCCCTTTGTATAAATGCTTTATTTGCATTTGTGTGGTGGGGCTGTCTATAAACTTGGTTTGCTTAGCGAACATGCATGCACATTCTCTGGTTACTGTACTTTTTCCTATTTTTATGTATTTTTTTCTGTTTTCCTTATAAATTTGGGGAGAATTCAGCTTTCCCCCCATGAAATCCATGAAATGGTTGAGCTTCATTCATTTACATTAGGGAGCTATGGGGATAACTGATAGGTAGATATCTGTTCTACAGAGAGTGACTGGCATCACAACTGCAGTTCAGAATACATGTTCTAAAGAGAGGTTGTAGTAAAGGGATTTTTCACCAAGCACATATTGTCAGCGCTTAGTTGCTGCAACTCAGTTTTCTCTCTTTTGAGCTTCGGGTGCAAATGAACTAGCACAATTTTTTTTTTTTTTTATTGCAAAAGTTTTACAATTACATTTTCACCCCTTTTCCCCCCCCGCCTCCCCCCCCCAGACTTCCCAACCTCCCTAACCTTCCCTAACCCTCCCCTCCCCCCAGACTTCCCTATAATATACTCATACTCATAAAAAACCCTTAATATAACACTTATATATAAACTTGAACCCCTCCCTCCCCTGTATAATTTTTCTCTTTACCTCATTACATTAAAATATTTCCAATACATTATTTTCAAATAAAAGCTATTTGATACTTTCTAGTTTGATATTTGTTCTGAACATATTCTATCCACCTTTTCCATTCCCATTCATAAGTCTCTTGTGAACAATCTTTTAAATATGCTGAAATCTTCGCCATCTCTGCAAAACTGGCCATCTTCAAAGTCCATTCCTCGATAGTGGGCAAAGCTTCATTCTTCTAGTATTTACCTATCAACAATCTTGCTGCTGTTATCATATACAATATCAATTTTGTTTCACCCAATGTAAAACCCTTAACTATACCCAATAAAAACAGTTGTGGAGAAAATTGAATTTTTTTCTTCAAAACATTCTGCATGACCCACCAAATTTTTATCCAAAAAGCCTTAACTTTCCTACAGGTCCACCAAACATGATAATACGTAGCATCCAAACATTCACATCTCCAACATTTTGGCTGAACATTAGGGTACATACATGACAACTTTTTGGGATCTAAATGCCATCTATAAAGCATTTTATAGAAATTTTCCCTCAGGTTCTGCGACTGTGTAAATTTAACATTCTGAACCCAAATTTTTTCCCATGTTTCCAACATCACTGGTTCTTCAAAATTTTGTGCCCACTTAATCATACAATCTTTAACTAATTCAGTTTCTGAGTCCCTTTCTAGCAAAACATTATAAAGCCTTTTGATATGCATTGGACCTTTCTCTCTTATATGTCTAACCAATTCTTCCTCATGCAACATAATACCAGTTTTTTGGTCCTCTTTCCATCTCAATTGTAATTGATTATATTGTAACCAAGTTAAATTAATCCCTTCGTCCAACAGTGTCTGCAATGTCTTCAGCTGCCATCTGCCCGCATCTGTAAAAAGAACCTCTTTGTATAAAAACCCCCCGAGTGACATTATATTTGTATTCCACAAAGTATGACCAAGATCCAGCCATAGCGGTATTTTATAATCCCATTTGAGTCGATGCTTCTTCCAAACTCTCATCAAAGAGTCTCTAAGTATATGACTTTTAAATACTTTATCAACTTTGTCATCATAAAATAAGTAAGCGTGCCATCCAAATTCAAGATCAAAACTTTCTGCATTCAGTATTCCAGCCTTTTTACTTCCAAACCAATCACTTGTTAAAGTTAAAGCTGCTGCGTCATAATATAGCTGTAGGTTTGGAAGTTTAAGACCTCCTCTTTCTGGAACATCTTGCATAATTTTCAATTTCACTCTCGGCTTCTTCTCGTTCCAGACGAACTTATTCACTCCAGATTGCCAAACTTTCAATTGTTTATCACTTTTAAGCACCGGAATCATTTGAAACAAAAAAAGAAATCTTGGCAAAATATTCATCTTAACTGCTGCTATTCTTCCAAGTAGAGACAGCTGCAGTTTTTTCCAAGTCTCCATATCTTTCTGCACCTCTCGCCACAACACCTCATAGTTATTTTGAAACAATTTCATATTTGATTCTGCAACCTGAACTCCTAGATATTTTACCTTAGGTACAGTCTCAAAACCTGCCCTCCTTTCAAGCTCATGTTTACGATCTTGTGTCATGTTTTTAGCTATCATTTTAGTCTTTTTTGGATTCAATCTAAAACCTGAAACTTTACCATAGTCTTGTATAATGTCCTTCATCAAGATTATTGATTCCATTGGTTGTGATAGGGTAACAACCAGATCATCTGCAAATGCCTTTATTCTGTAATCCTCTTGCCTAATCTTTATACCTTTCAAAATATTAGAGTCCCGTATTGTATTTAGCAAGACTTCTAGTGTTAAAATAAATAAAAGTGGGGACAACGGACATCCCTGTCTTGTTCCTTTTTCAATTTTAAACTCTGTTGTCAGACTTCCATTAATAATGATCTGTGCCTTTTGCTCTTGGTAAATTGCCGAAATCGCCTGTATAAATTGATCCCCAAAGTCCATCTTTTTCAAAGTCTTTAATAGAAAATTCCAATCCACTCTATCAAAGGCCTTCTCTGCATCCAAAAAGACCAGCACTGCAGGGATCTGTTTATTCTTCTCAAGATATTCCAATAAATCTATTACTTGCCTTACATTGTCCTTCATATATCTGCCCTCGATAAATCCCGCTTGATTATCATGAATCACCTTTTGAATTACTGGCATCAACCTGTTGGCTAGTACTTTCGCAAAAATTTTATAATCTGTATTCAAAAGAGATATTGGTCTATAGTTCTCTGGTTTTTTAGGACCGATTTGTTCTTTTGGTATCAAAGATATGTAAGATGTTGTCCATGATGGGGGTATTTTACCCCCTTGCTGAATATTGCAAAATAAATCTCTAAGTTGTTCCACCATTTCAGCTTGCAAAGTTTTGTAATACACTGCAGTCAAGCCATCCGTGCCAGGAGCTTTGGCTGTTTTTAACTGTTTAATTGCTACTATTATCTCCTCCTCTGTTATGGGATAATTCATTCTTTCCTTTTGTTGATCAGTAATTTTTGTAACTCTTTTATCGTTTATTTTTCTATAAGTCCATTCTGCACCTCCTCTTTAGCATATAATTTAGTATAATAGTCCACAAAAGCTTCTTTAATTAATTTTTGTTGAAAGATTTCTTTCCCTCCAATATCAATACTATCAATAGTCCGTATACTTTGTTTTTTCCTCAATGTGTAAGCCAACCATCTGCCCGGTTTATTAGCGTTACAAAATGTATTATGCTTCGCATATTGTAAATTTGTTGCAACTTGTTCCGCCATAAGCATTTGAAATTGGTCTTTCAAAAGTTTTATAGCACTACGTATTCTTTCATCTGTTGGATTTTTAATAAGTAACTGTTCTTTATTCTTTATTTCTATTTCCAGTTCAGATCTTTTCTTTTGTCGGAACAGTCTATGTTTAGAGTTCATGTAGATAAGTACCCCTCTCATATAAGCTTTACTTGCATCCCACACAATTTCAATTGGGGTACCTTTATTCAAATTTATTTCAAAAAATTCTTTCAGATGCTGGAAGACTGGAATGGAGTAATCGACTCTAAATTAGATAAAAAGAGTTTGGCAAAGTCTAGAATCAGATTACCACAGACCTTTTTTGACATGAAAGAAGATATGGAACTAAAAGATGTTTGGAGAATACATAATCCAAAAGAATTGGACTATACTTTTTTTTCTGACAGACACAGATCCTTCTCTAGGATTGACTTTATTTTGTTGACAGATGATTTACTTGTTAAGACAAAAAGAACAAAGATTTTTCCAAGAACTTTGACTGACCATAGCCCAGTATGGATAGAAATTGAGATGGATAAGGTTGAGAGACGTTCTTGGAGATTAAATGAGAATTTGTTTAGATATGAAAAAAATATAACAGAACTTAAAAAGCATTAGCACAAAAATTTTAATCTCACATTTGTTTCTTCATGCAGGTGGGCTGGATTGTGAGCTGAGAGAGAGAGGAAAGAGTCTCTCAGTAGGACAGAGGCAGCTGGTTTGTTTAGCAAGAGCCCTCTTGACTCAGGCCAAGGTGAGTGGTGGTCTTTTTTTTTTCTTTATATATCCTGCTATACTTGGAAGGTGTCAAAACCATTATCTTGGACTGGAAAAGTTGAAGCAAGTTTGGAGCATCTGTCCTACACAGAAGGCTAGGTTGTCCTGGACTTTTAATTAGGAAAAAAAGCAATTAACGGCATTATGTAGGTTTATAAAACTATATATATGGAGAACTGGGTAGAAAAGAAGGTATTGTTCTCTTGTAACTCAAGATTCGCTACCTACAAGATTCAAGGAATGTAACTTTCCTTACTCTGTAATTAATATAATTTCTTGCTACAAAATGTAGCCTCTGTTAATGAGTAACAGATCCATGATATCTAAATGGAATTTCCACAGGAGAGAAGTTGTTTGGGTTGAAATCAAGAGCAAAACCAAAAGAACTATTGTCTTCATGATTTGAGATTTTCCAGAAGCACCTCGCTGTCCACATTTGGATATAGTGGATCCTTGCTTTGTATGCCAAAAGGTTCACAGTAATTGCATCCATCAGTTTTTTCTTGTATTGGAAGAATGTTTTTTACTTTGTCTCAATTGTAGATTTTGTGCATTGATGAAGCCACAGCAAGTATTGATCAGAAAACAGACAGACTCATCCAGCAGACCATTCGCCAGAGATTTACAGATAAAACTGTTTTAACTATTGCCCACAGGTAATGTTTTATTTCTTCTTTAGCCTTTGGCTCTTCAGTCTGTATAACTGAAAAAAAAAATCTAATTTCTTATATATTTCTGGTAGCGACTGGCCAAAAATCATGTTATGCTGAATATCTTGAAGGATGTTTCTACACCAACATTTCAACTATTCACCATGATACTGACACACCCAGACCAACTGCCTAATGCTGCTTTCCCTCAAAATTCAAGTTTTTCCCTGCCAGCATTTCTTTTGAGTGCTTCTGCTTGATCCTAACATCTCTTGATTGAGGGAAATGATTTCCAGATCAGACTGCACTAAAGCTCATCTTAGAGTGGATTTGGGCAGCCACAGATACCAAGAGAAATTTAGTTTTCCGTTTTTAAAGCTGTTTGAAATTGGCACGAGAACATTTTCACATTTTTCAAACATTTTAAACTGGGTCTTCACATATCTGCATCTGCGGAGCAGACTCCAACCAATACACACAGCAATAGTTGTGACCATCAGTTACAGTGCTATTATGTTTTTTTAAACATGCGACCTCCCTAAAAATACATTTTTTTCCATCAATTATTCTATTGATCTCTGCCTCATGCTCACATTTGAAAAACAGATGAACAGTGCGATTTATAGCTTATGCCCAATGAGCAATTGTATTTTAAATAAACATTACCTCTACCTTGCCTCATACCTGAAAATGGTGCCAGTGCAGATCCTGCTCCAGAGTAAATGTGTGAAAAAGATTTCACACTGAGGATCATTTTACTGCCGATGATGATGTTATCCATTCAGTTAAGTCTGACTCTTGGCGATTTTATTTATTTTATTTATTTTATTTGATTTGATTTGTATGCCGCCCTATCTCCATAGGACTCAGGGCGGCTCACAACAATTAAGAAATACAGTCCCAATCCAATAAAAACATGTTAAAAATACATATTACACACATATGATTTTATGGGCCAGGACTCTCCAATCTTCTGATCTTGTACTACTTTGGCTCTGGCTGATGTTAGCTTTGATGATATTCAGCTACCATGTTCTTTGACGGACGGGTTTCCTTTTACCACTATCTCTCCAAACATAATTGGAGAAACAATGTTTTCTCCAATGAATTCATGACATAGCCAAAGTTAAGTGAAACACAGTTTCATGATTTTGCCTTCTAGTGACATGTCTGGAGTTACTGTCAATATTGTAATGCTTTCATACAGATCTGGTGCCTATATAGAATCATCCGACTAACAAACCCAAAAAAAGCAGGCACTTTCAGGAACTTTAAAATCCCAAAAGAAAAACTTTATTGAATACGTTTTGACACTGAGGAAAGCAAAAACAACTCTAAATTTTCCCGCACAAACTTGCAGTTATAAAATAGGTTTCACCTCTCCTCCCATGGAACAGGTCACGTTGTCCAGTTAGGAAGCATTCTTTTGTTTTGATAACAGTTCATGTCTTGGCTGCCACCTGTAGAAATGTCCTTGACTCTCACGGATGAAATCTGGAGCCTCTGCATTCCATCTCACCCTTCCCTCCCAACAGTTTGGCAAGTTGAAAAGTGATAATAGTCACAAGAAGTTTAAACATTTTTCAATCTTGACACTCTGACCTGCAGAAGCCATCGGTTTAATCTTTAAAATCTTTTCAATAATGTCAAATAAAAACATAGGCAAAAACTCTAATTCATATACCTGTTCCCAGAATGTATCATTTGAGCCTCGTAACAACCTTATTTTAAAAACTGGCCATCTCATCCACTCTCTGCAAAATCTTGGATTATATTAAGAGGAGCATCAAATGCATATCTGGGGTATTCTGGCACTCTGCCTATACTATTGTGTTTATTTCTACCAGGTTGAACACTATACTGGACTCAGATCGAGTGTTGGTGATGAATGCTGGGCGGGTGGCAGAGCTCGATTCGCCTGGTGTACTCAGCCAGAAAGAAGACTCTTTGTTCCAGCACCTTCTACAGTGTGGATAGCAATAACCTTCCTGTGGACATTCTCAGACTTGAATTGATTGTACCTCATGACTGCAAGCTTTCCCATCTACAATAGGGGCCTCATCCACAGGTCAATCTCACATCCTTCAAATCCACTCATTGACTTTAGAGTTTCAAAAATAACAGAGGGTAGAAATTTTCTTAGTAGTCTGCAAAACTCCATTTTCATTTTGCTAATTTCACTTCCACTTACTGAAAGTTAAGTCCCACTCAGCAAGAGGTGTTTTTTTTTAAATTGAGTATTATCCATCTATCATAATGCAATCAGCAAAAATGATTCAAAGCCGTTTAAATTAAGATTCTTAATCCCAGGTACTGTATGCTGCTCAAATTAGGTCAGATACACAACCTTTACATCTTTTCTTCGGCTATCCTGCATTTCACTTCTCTGGGAATATATATATACCTTTTCTTATAAATAAAAATTAAACAATTCTCATTTTTTTTACTAGTAAAGCTTGTTTTTATTTTTAAATTTCACTAATAGCACACAACGTATGTTTGTACTAAGATTCTCAAGACATTCACATAACAAATATGCTGCGATTCAGACAATCTCTAGAAGACAGATTCTTTTTCCAGGAATCCAGTGGGATCATCCAGAAGACGATACTGGAATGGGCACTGTATATTTGTCTTTTAAGAGAAAGGGGCTTTGGTCTCTGGAAATACCCATTGAGATGCAGATAAGAGTAATTAGAATCAAGCATGTCACTGTTGCAGTCTGGTAAAAGTAGAAGAAAAGTATTGGTAACCTAACTACAAAATTAAAACTAGCTTCCTTTGTATTAGTTTATTTTTTTCTTTTCAACTAAATGTGGATTGAATCTCCATGTAAATTTCAGGAACACCAAGAAAACCATAACCTACCTTTGATTATTTTAGGTGTGCTCACATTCATCAGTGGATATTATTTCCCATCAGATCTTTAAAGTTCAAAGGAATGTAATTAGACGACTGAAGTAGATAGCCATCATTTATATATTTAAGGCTTAGATGTACAGCCATCTGAATCAGCTGATATTTAATCTCAGGAATCCAAAGACAAGATATATGAGATACAAAATCTGTAAATAATTCTTTTCACAATTCATTTTCTGGCAACGCTAGCTCCTACAGAGTTTACCACAGCCATGATTCACAAACTATGGTCCACAGAGATCCACCAGATATTCTGTAGCTTTGGTAACCACAGCCAATTACTACCTTAGCCTTCAGGAGACTCACTAGTAGAAGCTGGAAGACTTTGTCTTTGTCAGGAACAATTATTTGCTTTGACTTACATTCCCAGCTTTGGAAAAATTCATCTCTGCCTTGACTCATTTTTGCCTCTGCCTTGCCTTTGCATCGTGGACTTGCCTGACCCTGTGGAATTAGCTTTGCCCTTTGGACCTTGACTCTGGCCTTGCCCCTTCAGCTTGCCCCTTCTCTTTGGACTTCCTCTGCAAATTGGTTTTGGTTTACTGGCTTGTGTTTCTGGGACTGAGAATGGCTCCCGTCAGAGAAGTGTGGGGTGGAGCCTTACCAGCCACTGTAGGGCCGTTTGTTCTGACAGTTAACAGAGCAATAAAGGACTCTAATGATGCCTGTCTCTGCCTAGCGATCTGGGTCATAACAATGCTGCATGACTTCCATTTCCATCCAAAGATCCTTCTCTGTTGAGAATGATGGCACTTGATCAGATGTTGCTTGAGGCTTTCAGACTGGCTTACAGCATGACCTGGTGGTGGTATTTATTTCATTTCTTTCATGTTAAAAAAGGATCAAGATTGTTTTTAGTAATGCAGTGAGATGTCCAAATGTTAGTTGGAAACACAATTTCTGTATTTGTATACTTCAAAGGTTCAGTCTGGCTTCTTTCAATAAAATACATCCATGTTTTAACTTCCAGTAAAAATCCAAGAACATACATCGGATTAATGAATAGATAGGAATTAGTTACTAATGCTTTTCATCCAGCTATAAACATACAGATTTTTTACTTTATCTGCAAAATGTGTTACATGACCTTTCAGTGTGAAATCAGTGTCATTCAGTTGGAAGGTTCTGGCTGATGTTGTGTCAAGATCGGAAGTGAAGAGCGGGTCTCCATGCTCTCGCACCAAATTCTCACTGTTGGAGGGCTCCAAAAGGAGCCGAAGCCATCCTGTAGGTCGCAGAGAGCTGCAATTCTCCTGCCTGACCCAGGGCTTCTTTTTCCCTCTTATCCATGACGAGAAGAAGAGGCAGCCATTATTGCTGCCGTGAAGCTGGGACAGCCGAGGCAACAAAGAAAGTGCAGGAGTGGTGTAAATGAACAGTGGGTGAGATTATCCTTTTTTTACACAGAACCTAATCTTAAAAGGGGAGAAAAAATCCAGGAAAAGTGATTCTTAGATCTATTCATTAAAACAGCGAATAACTACCTAAAGGAAAATCCCTGACCTGGAAGAAAGGAACTAAGGGGAGAAAAGTAAAAAACTTTTAAAACCCAAAAAATTGGACTTTTAAACTAGATAGGTGCTGGCTTGTGAAAGGCATTTTAAAATGCTGGAAATACTTAAATAACTGATTTGATCTTGGCTTAAATTAAATTTGGTTAAATACATGTCAGACTGGAGACACTGAAACTTAAGCAGAGAGTGCCATCTACTGACGAATGGAAAATGTACCAAATCTCTACAAGTCTGGGGAAAATTTGATAAGAGAATTAAATAACATCTGGAGGACTGTGGTGATATCTACTGTTCTCTTTTTATCTACCTTATGACTACTGGAGGTTTAACTGTGAGAACAAAGATACTGGATTACCTAAAAGGAACTGACTGATAAATCCTGGGATATGAAGAACTATAATTATTGTACCCTTTGAGGAGCAATGTTAGGACTGAATATATGGTTCTTGGTCTATTGAACAAGAGTGAGACTTACTAAAATGCTTCTTCAGGAGGAAATGAGTGGACTTTTAAAAGAAATGGCATTGATGTTCCAGAATATTAATGATACTATGACAAAAACCACATGGAGATAAAGAATCTAATACATGGTATAGATGGAAAAATTAAAAATGTTTCACAAGAGGCAATGAACAAAGATCAAAATGTCCAGGGAAAGGAAAAGGATGGAGGAAAAGATAAAACAGAAAAATCAGCAAATAAAACAAGAAGAGAAGAAGGAAAGGACAATAAAGATGATAATGACTGATGAAATAAATCAAAGAAAAAATAATTTTAAGAGATTTAAAAATAAATTCAAGATAAGCAGGAGGATACCTTTGAAAGGAGGTAGGGGTTTAGGTAGATACATTGGAGGACTGGCAGTATGAGATGGTACAGATGGGAGAAATATCTAAACTAGACAGAGATAAAGATCCAAGAGAGTAGTATGGGAGACAAGTCAAAAAAGGAATAAGAATTGAAGTATTAAAACGGACAAGAGATGATGGATAAAAAGGAACCGCCTTAGAAAGAAGAAATAGGGGGGTTATTAGTATACACATTTCTATATAATAGAATAAAAATAATAACTAGAGGAGAAGGCCAGAGGTTGAAAGACGGTATTATATATGTTCAACTAATATTATGATTGGCATTACAATGGCATACTGAAACATTGAATAATTAAATATTGAAGGATTACATCCTAATATATATATGTGTACCAATACTAAGATTACAAAAGTTTGATTAACATAAAAATAACAAATATTGCATCAAAATGAACGATACCCAGATACCACACTGTTCATGCATTGATTTTGATGTATAAGTAAAGGTTCCCCTCGCACATATGTGCTAGTAGTTCCTGACTCTAGGGGGTGGTGGTCATCTCCATTTCAAAGCCGAAGAGCCAGTGCTGTCCGAAGACGTCTCTGTGGTCATGTGGTCAGCATAACTAAACGCCAAAGGTGCGCAGAATGCTGTTACCTTCCCACCAAAGGTGGTCCCTATTTTTCTACTTGCATTTTTTACATGCTTTTGAACTGCTAGGTTGGCAGAAGCTGGGACAAGTAACGGGAGCTCACCTCGTTACGCGGCACTAGAGATTCGAACCGCTGAACTGCCAACCTTTCAATCAACAAGCTCAGCATCTTAGCCACTGAGCCACCATGTCGTGTGTGTGTGTGTGTGTGTGTGTGTGTGTGTGTAAAACAGTGTCATTCAGTTGGTAAGAAAAAATATTACCAGTTTCAAATACAGAGTTCTAACTTTGTGTTTTCGGATTAGGTAGGTTTATCCAGCTGTAAAACATATTTCATTTAGATAATTAACTTTTTTCTGTTTCCAATTAATTAAGAGTCTGACCACTTTTAACATTTTTTAATTAATTACATCTGTAGTTTTAAAAACATAATTTAATCAAGATTTTTTGAATAATTTTATTAAAAAATTTAAGAAGAAAAATAAAACTAATGTAAATGTAAAAAAAAGAAAAAGAGAAAAGAGAAAGAAATCAAAGAGAAAGGTAAAAGTGCAAAGGGGAAAAAAGGAAAAATAGAAAAGAAAGAAAAAAGGTACAAAGTAGCTTCCGATCTTCTTTATAGCAGTTACAGATAATCCATGACTTATGACATTCATTTAACAACAATTCAAAGTTATGACAGCCTTGAAAAAATTATTTACCGCCTGTCCCTACACTTGCGACCATTGTACCAGCCCCACGATCATGTGACCACAATTCAGATGCTTAGCAACTGGCTCACATTTATAACCAAGTGCAGCATCCTATGATCATGTGATTGTGGTTTCCAACCTTCCCAGTTGGTTTCTGACAAAAAACAATTATGGAAGCTGAATTTGTTTAACAATCATATGATTTTGCTTAATGACCACAAAGATTTGTTTTATGACCACCCTAAAAATGTCTTTTTGCTAAACGATTTTGCCATCTCAGCAAGTTCCATCTTTATCAAATATTCTTCCATTGTGGGTAATGCCAAATCTTTCTATTTTTGTGCATACAATAACCTACCTGCATTTATTAAGTACAAAAACAAATTTCCAAGATTTTTTTCCAATTGTTTGACCATCAATTCCAAAAGAAAAGTCTTAATTTTCTAGCTCTTTTACATATGCACCAAGCATGACACAATGTCTCTTCTTGTTGACATGTCCAATATAAATGAAGTGGTTTTATACATTCCAGACAATTTCTCCAGTGACATATACATCATTGTATAAAAAATCTCTAAGATTATAACAGTGTAAATTTCAATCCTTTCAACCACACGTTTTCCCATTGTTTCATCTTTATTATAATTAAAATGTTAGTCCACTTTATGAAACGTTCCAGAAATTGTTCTTCTATTTCACATTTCAATAGAAGTTTATACATTTTAGCAATTACATATTCATCATTTGTACACAATTCTATTTCAAATTCAGCCTTATGATGTACTTTTATCTACTTTAAATCTTTCTGGTAATTGTATATAAGAAAAGCATTGTCCCTCTGTCACTAGTTCTTCTTTATTTTACATTCTTCCTAACACAATATTAGTATCTCACAATAAGTTAGCCAAATTTGTTTGTCAATTATATCTTGTTTATAAAATGCTTATTTTGCTAAGAGCCAGAAATATGTTTTTGAGCACAACCTGGATTTGTATCCCTTCCATTCTCAATATAAAACAAATAGCATAATTATTTTTGAAATCCAATTAACTCCAACTTTATTGTATCACAAATAATCTCATGTCATGTCCTTTTGTATCACAAATAATCTCATGTCATGTCCTTTTAACTCAAAAGCCTTCTATTTCTCAAGAACACTTACTCTTTCATCCAAACCAAACCAAACAGCAAGAGATGCTTCTTTCAAAAATGTGTGCATACACACATGTCTCAAAAACTGTGAGAAGGAAGAACTCCATATCTTTTTCCGATATGTGTCTTTTGTAGACAAATTATATCGTTTTAATTTTTTCAAATAATGACTTTTTTTTCACTTTCGGGGAGCATTTGCTACATTTATATTTTACATTAATCACTTTGTAATCCATAATCACATTAAAAAAATAGAAGAACCAATATTTATAGCACATAATCCAGTATATCCCTTTCAGTTTCCTCTTGCACAGTTGGAGTTTTTGTGTCTTCTTTGACACTTTCATTTGAATCTCTTCCAATTCTTCTTTGAATTTTTCTAAAAATTTCCACACCTCCTGGACAGAATTCAACTGAAACCTCTGCTATTTAAAAGTAAAATTCGTATCTTCCAATTTGTTTCATCAAAATGGGATCTTTTTCTGTTAATCTCTCAGTCAAAAAAAATCAACTCCTTTCTCTTACACAAAGTTATGATAGTAATTTAAGAAAAATTATATCTATATTGCCAATACATAATGCAAAACTTAATGCTTTTTTCTTCCTAACAAAATGTACAAAAGCATCGCTTAGAATATTTCTTGTTCTTGCAAATCTTTGAATTTACTTTATACATTTTTATCAATTTATGCCTCTATATACTCCTCTGCCAAATCCAAAAAAATTGCCAGGACTTTAATAATCTTCTCTCTAATATCTTCAGTAGAATCCTATGGCCTTGCTCTAGAATCCTAAAACAAATTCTTATTCTGTTAATCAAATATAGCCAGATTATCTAGTTCTCTTTCCAACTCCCTTGTCAGAAAGTTCTGTCCTCTCTAAAATTTCTACTTTGTTGTCAATTTGTTTTATATCTCCAGACATTTGTTACAGCACTTTCCATCATCTTGGCTTCTACTTTCATCTCCTCTTTCCTCTTTACAAGTCTTTCATCCATTTTTTTTCTTACGTGCTGTCAATTTAGTATCAAGTGATTCTATCTTATTTGCCCATTTGCTAACATTATTTCTGAAGCAAATCTGGTATAATTCCTTTTTCTGCAGGTTGCTCTAGTGATCTCCCCTCCTCTCCTCCATTCTTGCTGTTTTTCTGGTGGTTATCATTATATTATAATCCAAAAATGAAAGTATCTCAAACAACAGAAAATTAAAGGCAAGCTTCCTACATTTTTTGTCTTTTGTGCTTTCATCCCTAATAGCACTAATTATATTCAACATCACACTCATCAACTATAATTACAGTCAGTTTCATAGTCTGGCTCATTATCTTACAGTTATTTTTTGTTTTGTGCAATCCATCAATTGTATGCATTCTTTAATAATAAACAAAAAACATTCCCACAAAGGTCTAGTTCCTTTGGCTAATTTAATTATAATTTATTTAAAAGCACTTTTGCAAAAAAAAAAAAAATCTTTCAAAATAACCACCCCCTTTATCAGTTTTAAAAATTTCTTTAAAATTTCCGTGTTTGTCTTTACATTACATTCAAGGAAGTAGTGTAAAAACAAAACTCTATGATATGCTTTGTTTTCCAAATGCTCCAAAGCCTACTGGAAGATTACATATTTAGTTAGAGCCAACCTTAAAATTGTGTAGAACTTTTCAGCAAAAACTAATAGAACACTAAAAAAACAGAGAAGATATGTTTTACTTACTAAAGTTTTCTGAAGATTTGTGTTTGTAGATATCAGAAGGGAAAGTTTTTTTCAAAAAAAAAAAAACCACTTTTTTCTGGCCAGAGGGAAATAAATATGGCACTATGACTTCTTTTTTAGAGTATAATGCCATACAAAGTACTCATAGAATAATGTGGCATTCTTTTTAAATGTTCTTAAAAGATCCATTCTTTTAAAATAGAATAATATGGATAACAAGAAGCATCACAGGGTGACATTATCCATGGGAAACAACTGAGAGATGCTGTTACTTTCTCATGATAATAACACATTAAGCTTCCTGTTATCATTTTTATACACATAAACCCTCTCCTGAAAAGTTTTGAGAGCTGTGGCAATCCATCAACAAAAATGAATCAAATGTTCTCACAACTGTAACCTGAAAATTAGGTTGCAGTAACCTTTCAGCTTATCTCCAATTAAGGAAACTTTCAGCTATTCAGAAAATGTAGAACTTATTATCTTCTTTGAGCAGATGCCATTGATAAAATATATTATACTGATATTTAATGAGCCAAGAGACAAAATTTCTTAACTTTTTTTTTTTACTTTTCTTGAAACATAAAATAAATCTGAATAAAATATAGTGCTTGAAATCATGACAGAATAAAATTTTTCTCTAGAATTGTAGTCTTCATCTCAAAATCTTACCACAGATTCTAACCTCGAGAGTCAGGTCAGGTATGAGACAGTCTTTAAGGTTTTTCCTTCTGCTGGTTTCTGTCCTTACTCCAGGTAAACAATCACTTCCTTATGACTAAACAAAAAGATATTTATATAAGAGAAAGTCCTCTATAGAATTTTATTACAAAGTATCTTAGTGTTATGTATCATAAATTAATGATCACAAAATTTATAACTTTTTGTTTTCATCAGTAATTTTCTAAGGATTTGTTGTTTTGTTCACCCCTATTTGCTACAACATAATCCTTTTCAAACACCATTGTTTTCTTCTAGTGGAAGGTCATTATTTTTTAAAAAATCATCTTATCTAAAAGCACTGTTCCTTCTTTTGATATCAGTGAAGTTCTGATCAAAACTGACCTTATGAAATCACTTTTAACAAAACTAGGAGAAAAGACAAATAGGCTAGAACTGCTATCTAATAATACTATTTGGGGCTTATCTTATTCCTCAAGCCATATGGAGCAAATTTTGGCAAGTGTGTAAGGGGTCACCATTTCCACTGTGAGCATCATTCCCAAGTAAAATTCAATTAATCTTTCAGAATAAGCACAGTTATCAAAAGAATCTGAAATTACGAATTATGGTTTAAGGTTTTGCTTATTTTGAAGTTGTGAGCTGACTGAGATATAATGAAAGTTACCAGCAATTACAGGCATGCTAATTTATTTGCAGAAATGTGTGAAGGGAGGATAAAAGGATTGCATGTGGAAGGAAATATCTTTTTTAAATTTTGATTTACTAAACCAAGATTATGATATCAAAGCTTTTTCTCTGAGATTATTAACTGTATCAACATCTAGAAACATACCTAAATTGCGTTACAAGTTGTCTCTTCACTTTGGGGACTTTTTTGTAAGTTGTTTTCTGAAGAATCTTTACATTCTGAAGATAATTTCTGGGATTTTTCAGAACTATTCATCTCCAGGCTATGAATTACTTTATCAAGTTCGCCCTGTTTCTCCTTTAAAACTTTAATATCCAATTCCAGTTGAGCAACATTGTTTGCAATGCTATCTTTCAATCTGTTCAGTTCCACAAGCAAAGGATCTTCCTCTTTTCGTTTCTTCTGCAGCATCTCCACTAAATTGAAGTGGTGGAGCGAGGTACAAAAGAAAATTATTTTAATACATGCATTATTAAGGTAATTAAAATTATAAGTTTTAATTTTCTTAGATCCAAGACGCTTGGTATGGATTAAAAGTAATGTTGTCTACAGTGATACAGCATATATAATCCAATCTTTAGGATCATATAGTCCTAAATTTACAACTGTTGTTCGACAACTGTTCAAAGTTACGACGGTCCTCAAGAGTTCTGGATGTCACAGCATTCCTATCAGCATTCCCATCAGGGTGCTCAGCACCCAGCTCACAATTACAACATCACAGCAAGCCACATTCATATGACTATGATTTCCCCCATTCCCTGCCAGCTTCCCACAAGTTAAATCAATGATAAAATTGCAATCACATGATGACACACATAGTCCTTGTATAACTGATGGCAACCCAAACTACTGAAATTGCCATTGCTAAATTATGCAGTCATGTGACATTGCACGCTACGACTATGTTGCTTGCGATGGCGTTCTTAGTCCTAACTGCTATTGTTATCTGGAGACTTTCTGTAGTATTATGAGATGTCTTCAGAATGAGATAAAATATAATTACACACTTTCCAGGGGATTGTGTAGTATTCAGCACCACCAGTAAGTTTTTCCCCTTTTTAAATGGAAATTTTAAATTTGGTTTTAAATTATTGGGGTTTTAAATTTGTTCAGCCAAATTATTTAATTCATGTTAGTTTATTTTAAATTTTGTATTTATATGTTTTATTCTATGGCTGTTCACCGCCCTGAGTCCTTCGGGAGTAGGGCGGTATACAAATTCAATAAAATAAATACTGAATACTTCAGGACAAAAAAATAATAATTACGAAATAAGAGGAAGTGATACCTTGCTGTTTTGAAAGCCTATCTAATTCAATCCTCTGATAAAAGAGTTTCTTATGTTGTAATTCTTGTTCAAGCTTCAACTTTACTCTTTCCTCTATTACCTGGAAATTTTAAAAAGAAATTAGCACATTAAAATATGCCATTTCATTGACCAAAGTAAAAACAACCCTACAAGGATCATTATGGCTAATTTCCAATGTGTCCCTGAATCCAGAGTCTTTTTACATTATTATATATATTTCAAATGATATTTAATGCATTTTACTCTTACTCACAAGAGCTTCTTATATAATATGTTCATTTTTCCATTAAAATAGCATGTCTTCTTATTTTATAAAATCTACCTGAAATGATTATTAACTTTAGGAATTTCCTGAAGTTCTGTAATTCATAACGAAGGAGGAGGGGACAAACAAGCCATGACTTAACAAAACTGAAGTGTATGTAATTGTACCAAAGCACATGTAACAAGTCTGGAATATATTCTTAATTTGTAAGGAAATAACTTCTTTAGGACACCCAAGACAGTGAATTTTTGTTTGGAAGCTATATTTATTGGCATAAACCTTTGTCATGCTTCAAATACTTGCAACATTTAGGCTGACTCAGTAGGAGATCTAAATTCATTATTTCACAATGCCAAAAAATATTATGGACAGGGTAGCAAATACTTCTGCTCACAAGTGGGATTATCAGTACACTATAATGGAATGGCAAGAATATCCTTCCTATTATTTTTGTAAAAAAAAATGGTAATTCTTTCCCTGTTTTTTCTAGTAATATTTCTGTTTCAAATGTTTGTTTTCATTTGCAAATAGACATTCATGTCAAAAAAAGCAAAACAAATTTCAGAGTAAATATGCAGATTTTCACCTCAAGCTTATTCAAAGTTTATTTCACAAGACTGATAATGTCAAAAAAATGGAACTGAAGAGTTAAAAACCCAGAGACTGAAACTTCAACAGACTAGACAACATCACGTGCAAAGATCAGTAAACTCATAAAAATTATTTTGAATTGGAGAACAATAGCAACATTCTACATCTATCTTATCAATTCTGCACAAGCCCCTGGCTTCTGTTGCCAAAGTCTCCTGCAAAACATTATTTTATTTTGTGTATATTAAAAGACTTAATAGCCTGTATTTTTTAATTACTTGGATAAGGAAATCAATGCAGGCAGAAATAAGTGTTAGATCTTATGATAGGTGGTGCTAAACTGTCCATCCTTTATGCTGCAGTATCATCAAACCTTAAGAGTTTTAATAGTCACGTCTCTTGTCAGTTTACAACTGAACACACACTAATGATACAAAAAATTTGGTACGTCATTTGTTATATTTTTGTACACATTTATTTTTATTATTAGTGTTTGATGGTTGTTAAGTTTCTTCTTTTTTCTTAACTTTGGAAATATTTTTTTTTTAAATGTGAAGAAGCTGTCACTGGACCTAAATGTCCTGGACAACTTTTGTCCAGTCTCCAGCATCCCCTTTCTGCTAAAAATTGTTGAGAAGAGGTCAGTTGCCTTTTCAGAGAGCCATTAAAGAAATAGATTGTCCGGTCCCATTTTAGCTGGGTTATGGAGACAGCACTGATCATGCTCACTGATGATCTCTGATGATACTGAGATGGAGGTGGTTGCAACCAACTTGGCCCTGCTTTATTTCTCAGCAATTTTTGATATGATTGATCTTTACATTCTTGTAGACCAGTTGAAAACACAACTGGAGAACACTCTCCTCAGCCAGTTCAAGGCAGTATTTTGGGGGTATTTCCCAGCAGTATACTTGGAAGCAGCTGGAGTCTGGATGGGGAGAAACAGGTTTAAGTTAAATTCTACCAAGTCAAGTGGTTTGGACCTCCTTGTTCTGGAGATTCCCAAACTTAGTCCTGAAGGGGTCACACTAGGGGAAGTCTTCCTAGATTCTTAACTCTCTCTCAATGATTCAGGTAGCTAGGGCTTTGCACAAATCCAACATGTATGCCAGTTGCACTCATTTCTGGACCAAGAAGCCCTCATTACAGTCACTCATATCTTAGAGGTGAACTATAGAGTTGCCCTTGAAGACCACTTGAAAGCTACAGCTGGTTCGGAATGTAGCAGCATAAACTGCGATAGTCAGGTATCACTACACCCATGTAACACCTCTGTCTCAAGAGCTGCATTAGTTACCAATATGCTTCTGAATGCAATTCAAAGTGCTGTTTATTATCTACAAAGTCCTATACCGCATAGTACCTAGCTGTCTGAAGGGCTATGTATTTCTTGTAATATCTGCCTATCCAAGGTGTCGGCAACGTGTGGCTCCTGAGCCACATGCGGCTCTTTCGTCCCCCTGCTGTGGCTCCCCGTCAGATAGGTGCCCCGCCCCCTGCCCCCCCTCCCAGTCACTCCTCGCATGTCCTAAGAAGGTAAGGGGAACGGCGGGGATGGAGACTTGCTCCATATTCCAGAGTGGGAGGGAAGCACCCCTGTACTTGCCTCTCATCTCGTCTCGTGGGCACTTCTTCCGGTGCTTCTTGGTGCTGCACACACACCTCGGTCACTCGGGGAGACACGCGACTTGATCTCCGCTAAGAGACACTGGCTGGCCCAGCTGTGCCTGATGCACCACGTTGTAATGGGCTCCAGGAGGATGGGACGCCGTCTCCCCCATTGTGAAGTATGCTAAATTTAAGTGTGCTGAGCAAGATGCTGCAAGACCAGCGAGAAGGCCATGGAGGTGGCGAAAGAAGCGACGTCAGCAGGCACCTGTGGCTGACAATGCTGTTCTCGCTGCCTCCATGGCCTGTTTGCTGCTCTTGCAGCACCTTGCGCAGCACACTTAAATTTAGCAAGCTTCACAATGGGGCAGATGGCGTCCCCTCCTCCTCCTGAAGCAGATTATGACACAGCGCATCGAGTGCAGCCAGGCCAGTGTCTCTTAGCGAAGATCAAGTCATGTGTTTCCCTGAGCAATCGAGATATGCACGCAGCACCAAGAAGCGCCGGAAGAAGTGCCCGCGAGTTGAGAGGCAAGTACAGGGGCGCTTCCCTCTCGCTCTGGAATATGGAGCGAGTCTCCATCCCTACTGTCGCCCTTACCTTCTCAGGCCACGTGAGGAGTGACTGGGAGGGGTGGGCAAGGGTCAGGGCCAGCCAGCCGACAGGGAGCCACATTAGGGGGATAAAAGAGCTTCATTTATCTGGGAACCTGAAATGACTCTTGATTTAAATCATATGGTAAAAAGCACCAAAAGAAGAACATCAGCAAAAAAAACAAAAAAAACCCAAGCCTCGACTGTTTTTGGTTCAAGAGGGAACACACACACACACGAGAGAGAGAGGGAATAGAGGGAGGAAGGGAAAGAAAGGGAGGAAGACAAGGAGGGAAAGAGAGAGAAGGAAAGAGAGAAACAAATAAGAGAAAAGGGGGAGAGAGAGGGGGGACACAGAAATGAGAGAGCTTGACGGAGAGAATGAGAGGGAAAAAAGGGAAACGAGAAGGGGAGAGAAAAAAGGAAAAAGAAAGAAAGAAAGAGAGGGGGGGGGGAAAAACAAGAGAGGGAAAGGGAGAGAGAGAGAGATCCATTTCCCACAGAAAACACCTGGAGCCACAAAACCCAGACAGGCGTAGCTGGGGGGGTTTCATGTGACTGGATGGGAGTGATGTTGAGTTGGCCACGCCACTCAGGTTTTGTGGCTCCTAGTGTTTTCTTTTCTGTAGGAAACTGATCCAAATGGCTTTTTGAGTGTTTAAGGTTGCAGACCCCTGGCCTATCCCAGGTAATCAGGGTCAACTTCCTTTGAGTTCCATTGAGGAAGCAGCATCATTTAGCAGAATCCAGAAAGCAGGATTTCTCTGTTGCAGCACCTGCATTCTAAAACAGCATTTGCTTGGAGATTCATTCAGCAGCCTGTCGAGTGTCAAATAACCCTCGACATCACACACATCTTAACAGCATGGAAGACCATGGGGGGGGGGGGAATACCGTCGGAAGATCCAGAACATCTGAACAAACTTCAGCAACGGATCACGGTGGAGGGGGTGTTGTGTTAGGACAACATACACACTGATAGTGGGTGATGGATGGGACACAAGAAAAACGGGGGGTGGACATATGTCTGAGGGATTGAGAGTGAAAAGGAGACTGACGTCAAGAGGCTGTGACCAACGGCAAACGAAGGGAAAAACAAGCGGCAGATTCGAGTGTAACAGCTGGGAGAGATTGCCTGGGGACAGGTAATGAGGTTAATGAGTTAATGAGGCCCTGCTTCTATCTGGGTGCGTATGTGTGTGTGTGTTCCTTCACGCCTGGCGAAGCACCGACGGCTCCAGAGGGGCTGAGACAGCCACTCTCTCTCCCTTGAAAAGAGCCCTAAAATTCAGTTCTTTTCCCAGATCTTTGGTTAGGGCAGAGTTCCCTAAGCTTTCTGAGTTGGCGGCCCGGAGTGGAGGCACAAGTGCCTGCGCGAGTGGGGTCACGAGTGTCCACAATCCTAATGTGAGTGGGGCAGTGAGTGCCTGCACAAGTGGGGCTGCGAGCACCCATGACACTCGCAACGGACACACAAAAGGGGGCTGTGCGTGCACTCCGTCCAGCTACTGACACGACCTAGTGGCCAATAGGCCATAGCCCACTGGTTGGGGACTCCTAGGTTAGAGTATTTAGTTGACCCCATTTTTGGGGTGATGGAAAGTAGGTTTTTCTAACCTGTTTCCCCAGGACTACTATGTTCTTTTTGTAGATCTTGTTATGTTTTTCTTGCTTTTTAACATTGTGAAGCTGACCAGTCACTTTGGAGTTAGGCAGTTTAGAAATTGCATATATGAAATTAAAATAAACTATGTAGATATAGACATATTTGTGTATCTATCCATCTACCTTAGAATTTTGCAGAGGACTGCTTATATATTTTAAGTTCTACAATATATTTTACATTTCTATGCTGAAAAGAAGGAAAAGTTAAAGCTTGTTAATCAGAAAGAAATAAACAGTGTTTATAAGAAATGAGGCGCTGGACTTACCGTGAACGCTCCTTCTCCGGGGGCTGCAGAGTGGGTCAGGAGTGGGATGATACAGTCAGTCTGACCAATTACTGAGTCAAATTGCTTTGG